CGCGTGGCGGCCACTTCCGCCGCCCCCGCCCCCGCCCGGGGGAAAGTGGCCGACTCAGCGCGTGCGGCGCGGTGGCAAGGTCCTCAGACTTGACCTCCACCTGGTCTGATGAAAACGGATATAATGCGTCGGGATCCGTCCACACCGCTTAACTGAGATAGGAATATTTTAGTAGCCTTTCCGTTAAGAGTGGTTTCACGATTATGCAGTAGATTCGTGGAACGTTTCCGGATGAAAGTTCACACGGTGACTGAACTAGAAATAACGTGAGCTGATCTCTGCCTGTGCCATTGTTCAGAATCACTCGGTACCTGTCACGGCTTTGATTTCTGTTCGCCGTTTTTCTCATAAGATGTACGCTACTTAAGCTGTCTCACGGAAATCCCACGTGCGCCAGTTTACTAACTGTTTGGTGCTCCGTTTGGACCGACCCAGATTTGGCTTTAGGCTGTGACTTGTTATTGTACTTGTTATCTTTGCTGCGCTCATTGCCCGTGGTTTGTCATTGTTAACATAGCGTGTCGGTCGCCACTAGCCTTATCCGAGCAAACCTGACATTTTTAAGTGCTCATAGTTGCTGTCTGTGGTTTTGGACGCAGTAACATACAGGGTGTCCCCCAAAAATGTACCTCATTTGAAATTAAGATATCTCATTGTCTGAGCATACAATGATCCTAAATTTGGTACCATATGAAAGCTCATTCCATAGCATTTTGTTTGATATTAACTATTTTACTGTACGTTACGTGAAAGCCGAGTGATAACGAAAGAGCAAAACCCTTGCAATTTCGCACTTGAATTACTGCCACAAGTGTTTCTAAATTGTGTCTCATGTCAACTGAAGATATCTCAGAAAATACGCACTGATGATAGCTATCATATATTTTATTAAAGCTAATTTCATGGCAATTAATGCTTCACAGCTTTCATTTTGCACTTGATTTTGCACAAATGGGCAGCTGAGCAAGGAGGAAAGGATTCAAGTTGCAAAACCCTACCTCCAAACCGGTTCTGTGGTGCAAACACAGCGGAAATTAAAGGCCCACTTCAAAACAAAAAAGAGGTCCTCCCACAAGTGTGCAAAAGTTGTGTGAACACCATCAGCCTCCAATGGCTACAGCAGGACGGGGCTCCTCCACACACTTCCGAGATCAACGATGGTCTGGCTCAACGAGCGCATGGGTGATCGGATCATACCCCAGCGTGCCAACGTTAGCCGGCCGCCACACTCCCCAGACCTATCGCCCCTTGACTTTTATCTGTAGAGGTTCCTCAAGAGTGTGGTATACCTACGCAAAGAATCCTCAAACTCTGGACCAGCTGAGGAACTCGGTCCGGACATGCATCCGGAAAATCCCGCTTGAAACATGTGCCCGCGTAGCCCAAGAGTCCTAAAGACGCTCCGCCATGTGTGTCGAGCGAAAGGGAGGGCACTTCGAGCGTTAGCACGGCTAAACCTTTAACTGGGATGTGATGCGATGGGTGTTTGTTATGTCAGAATGCATGAATGAAACCTAGTTTCAATATTTCTAATGATTTTTGTGTTTTGTTCTGAGTTGCTGAAAATATCGGCAAAACAATTGATTTTTTTTTCCAGAAACACCCGTGGAAATAGTTGAAGAGCGAAATTGCAAGGGTTTTGCTCTTCCGTTATCACTCGGCTGTCACGTAACGTACAGTAAAATAGTTTATATCAAACAAAATGCTATGCAATTAGCTTTCATATGACATCAAATTTAGGATAATTGTATGCTCAGACACTGAGATATCTTAATTTCAAATGAGGTACATTTTTTGGGACACCCTGTACATACAGCACATGCCTCAGTTTATTTGCCTACGATTTTACCACACTTCTTTGCTTTCCACAAAAGTGCAAGCATATATTAGTTTAGCAGCTCTGAAGTCAGTCTTATTTGAAGTTTATTGCACTTATGTATGATGTCCAATGTCTCCAAAGCAACGTTTTCCTTGGATTGCATGCTGCTGAATTAACCATATCTACCTTTGATGCCACTTGCTGATGTGCATTATGCCCTGCAGTCACTCAACATCTCTCTGCCTAGCCTCCCTACCTTGCCGCAAGCCCGGTACACTACCCAATCTACAGCTCCACATCTTCATTGTAATGGTGTGCCTTCACCTTCTTGCTGTTGTTACCGTGGTATGACACAAACATAGCTGCCGCCCACCCCTGGCCTCGGTCCAGGGAGGTTCAGTGACACCGATGGTCGCCGCGTGTGACCACATCATTATCAGAGGCAGCCGCGTGCCCTCCCCACCCTGCCCGCCCTGTCTGACCGTCTGTCAGTCGCCCGTGACTGTCAGTCATTCCGTCTGTCCGTCTCTATGCATACTTGTCTGTTCATCGGTTGCCTGCCCATCCTATGTCTATTAGTCCGTCCATCCACCTCCCGTCCATCCGCCTTCCGTCCATCTGTCCGTCCGCCCAGCCCACTGTCCGCCCAGCCCACTGTCCGTCCGTCCACTTGGCCGTCCGTCCGTCTATTCGTCCGTCCGCCCGTCCGTCCGTCCGTCCGTCCGTCCGCCCGTCCGCCCGTCCGTCCGTCCGTCTGTCCGTCTGTCCGTCCGCCAAGCCCACTGTCCGCCCGTCCGACCGTCCGTCCGTCCGTTCAGGTACCGCCTCGGGGCGATGACTCACTGCCCCGCGGGCACGGCCTCAGCCCATCTGTCCCACATGCTCACCGGGCTGCGGTCGGTGGCACGTGCCTCGTGAGACCCGTCCAGACACTTTAGTGACGTCATTGGGAACATAGAGTGTAGGTGAGACGCCAGACGGTAAAACACGGCCGGCTGGGGTGAGAGTAAGTGAAGTGGCTGTGAACGGGTGATGAAGGAAGTGGAGTGTGCGATGATGGATTATGATGAAACGGACTGATGGACTCTTGATAGACGGGAGGAACGTTTTATCAGAGCATGCGACAAGCATACCATTATACAGCATTTAGCGATAGCACGTAATTTATGGACAGGGATGTAATTTGCATATGAAGCTGCTGATTTCAAGTAGGTACCCACAAGTACTGCCCTTAGGCGACTTTTAGATGCTGATTTAGTTAGCTGGGTGTTAACAGGGTGTTCCATAATGAATGTTCATTTTAAATAGGCTCAAAATCTAAGTTATTGTATTCATAACACATAGAGCGATATACCATTGTATTGGCGAAAGAATGGCTTTTTCTGTCGTGATGGCTTCAGACACTTGCATGCTTTCAGTTTTCGGCACTGGCGCCGTTTCTGCGGAGGCAGATTTCGGCCCTCCTGCGGACATGCCGAACCGCCTGCCTGACGTCCTCTGGCTTCAGCCCACGAGCAAATGCATCCACGGTGTTTTGCAGTTCCAAAAGTGTGGTAGGAGGGTTGCACCGTGATTCCGTAATGGTACGTTATGCTTTTCCTTAAAATGGTACCCATACCTACAGCGGACCGCAGTTATGTTTCTCAGCCTACCATATTCTGCGACTGCCCAAACTGCCTCTCCTTGTGTGAACGGCGCAGTGCATCGCATCTGTGCTGCTGACATCGCGGCAGATGGCGGCCATGAGACTAAATGCTTTGGGATAATTTTTGCACAGATAAAAAAGCCAATCTTTTTGCAACAACGCTCATATAAAATTATCGATCATTGCTTTATTTAAGATCCTCCAATGGTTCATTTAAAATGAACACTCATTATGAAACACCCTGTATGATTTCGATGCTCATTTAGATAGCTGTTTTAGGTATGAATGTTTCTTTATATTTTATTTTATTTCATTCAATTCAGCCATGCAAAATTATACAAAATTATATTATACAAAATAAAGGAGTTATGGGATTATATCGATAGAGGGAATAGAAATAATCAAGCGAAAAATAAGTAGGTATGTAATGGTAATGGTAATGGATTCTCGAAAGAAAATAAAGCCAGTTGGATACAGGTAGAAGTAGAAATTAAATTGCACTGTGAGCATTGATCTTCATTTTTAAGCAGGAACTATTACGATGGGCCCTCAGCGCTCAGGCTTGTTTGCCCTGTTCATTGGGCTCCAAAACATTAACAGCTGCCGAGCTGATTCAGCAATGCAGTTCAAACCACACTACCCATGAAATTCGCCCCCAATTACCGTCACTATATTGTCCATCCCTCCCCACACCGCGCGCCGGATACTAGTTATTGTTCCACCCCGGCTGTGCCTGTCCTCACTCCCTACCCTCCCCCCCCATGCTGGCTGCTGCCCAGTGCCCATTCTATAGCTCACCTGCAGCCGCGCTTTGACCGAGGTCACGTGATCGGAGCACAGATGTAAATCGCGGTCACGTGATCGGAGAGGCACGGTCAGCTGTCTGACCACATTTGGGCTGCCGTGGGTCGTCGGTCGGCGGGCTGAGCTAATAAGACAAAGACGGAAACGAGGATGAAACGCGGTTTTCGGTTCACTAGGCTACGGTGGATTATTAAGGTCGCAGTGGAATGGATAATCATCTTTTCCGACAGTTTCGGACTCCAGCCATATCATTATATCCATGGAGCATCAGCTGTGCTAGAAGCTAACGAAGCGCATCCACTCCCAAACGGAAATCCAGCTTGCACTCGTAGTTTGGTTAGATTATTAATAGTTTTTTTTTTTAACATGGAATTTACGGTTTTTCGTTTTAGTTTGGGTTCCGAACCACGAGTATGAAAAAGGAAACAAACACCTGCCCACGCATACCGAACATCTGTCAAATGTTACACGCCGACGCCGCCGTACGTGACATGCCCAACTGGCATGTGATTGACGCTCACCCCACCGGCCTCCCCTCGCTAACCCTCGGTAAAATGCACCGTAGGCTTCAGAGTGGAGGCGTGATTGTGAAAAATGCCGCGGGGCTTCCGTGATGGAAGGCGCCCCGAAACAAAACCCTAGAACGTACTTATGCCGATCTTTGAGAGCCAAACATGAACCGAAGGCAATGAGTGGGTTTTGGGACTTATCGATACATTTTCTTGTTTCCAGATTCAAGGTGTTATTTACCAGAGTCTAGTTCGGTGGCCACATTTTTCGTCCCTGAAGACCTGCCCGTCGGAGCCGTTATAGGTGAGTGCAGACCTACCGTTGATAGAGCCTAATTCTGATTTGCTAACGTGATGATACGCATTTCATGGCACTATTCGTAGTTTTAAAACGTCCATACTGCTACACATCGAGGCACCTTATTTGATGCTTTGGATTAGATAATAGTTTGGTTTTTGTTTAATCTTTTTATTCAATCGATATTTAATTCAGCATGCATGACGAGTGACGAGTGACGACTACCTGTATCGAAGCCTTTCCAATTTAAATCATCACATATGGGTCGTAACTTCGACTGAAAGAACTTCCAACATAACAACTGCTTATTACCAACTCCAAGCTGGTCAGGTGTTAGTGTCTTTCTTTCTCTGCAATAATGTCGGTAAGCTTTTTGCTGCTCCCCTGGGTGACATGCCCCCACTTTTGTTGTCTGCAGGTTCTCTGCAGGTGCAGGGTGACCCGTCGGAGCGCGGTGACATCCGACTCAGTCTGGACAGACAGGACTACCCAGTCACCATCCAGCCCGGCACGTCCAACATTACACTGACCAGCGCACTAGACAGAGAGGTGAGCACTCTTACCGAGTTCATCTGTAGCTTCGTGCAAGGGATAGCGCGTCAGTTTTAAGTCTGACCGCTGCGGCGTGCACTGCGGATAAACGCTTGGTTTTAGAGGAAATATTGAGTCGACTTGAACATCATAATGCAAAATAATAAGCTTCACCTAGCTATACATTCTGGGGTGAGTGGATAGAACACGTGGATGCCAGAGTGGGCTGCGTTATATGCCCGTGACCTGTCGGCCTAAACCACCCGGTGAAAAGCGTGGCCGACCTCCTCGTCGTTACCGTTATACGATCCGAGTAAAACTAAACGATGCCATTGTGTGTTCGCCGCTCATGCCCACCAAACGTCGACAGTCACAAGTTAGGGGCTGTGATATGAATAAACCACATGGTCGTAAAGCGGACCCACGCTGCACCAATCACCCGTTTGCAGTCAGACTGGCGTGTGTTCATTCGTGTTCGATGCGGATTCCCAACGATTACCGGCGTGCTTTATTCTTGTCCGCTAGCGCCACGCTAATAACCCACTGATCGATTATTGAACAGCGGTGGCGGCAGAGCAGTGGTGGACCGGACCACCCCAATCAGGGCAGTGTGTTCAGTCCGGTCTGCGGACGGTGGTAGCGAGTACCAATCAATGTCCCCGTGCTGCTCAGGTGCGACCTTGACTGTCGGCGTGTCGTAAAAATTAGCCCCGACATGCGTGGCAAACTTGGGAAATCAGGCCAGTCTGCCCCCGAGCGAGACCTCGGGACCACACGGATCGATGTTTGGTTTTTGTTCCCGTGGCGGCACGCTGTTTGGCAGGCAATATTGGTCTGTTGTCTGAGCAACTTTGATCAGATGACAGCCAGCTCCTGCTTGAGACCGAATCTCTCTGTCAAGACGTAGGTCAGGAAAATGTGACTTGGAAGGTGGAAGTGGAAGTGTAGTTACTCTTTGATTGGTACAGCATGGAGTCTGATAATACCAAGACTACAAAGCTTGCTGTTGTTTGTGCTGGCGAATTGCCCTTTGCAACTGTCTCTAAATTAACTTGTTGCATGCAATTCGTGACTTCCCAAACACGGGCGGGCCTAAACCGGTTTATTTACGGTTACAAGTTACGCTGAGCTGCACCAGCATACGGAGACTCTCATTACCTGCGATGACGCCGAGAGCTCAACATGGTTTCACGCACACGACCTGCCCCTTTTCCGGTTGTTTGTTCCGGATACAGACCGGAATTGACTGGGGCACTTCCGTTAGGGGGACGGGGACCGTGCCACGTGATGGGAATATGTGCTGGTGACCAGCTGACTGACCAGTTAACATTGGTCATTGATGAGTGGACGATTATCACTCGTCATTGCCCTTACAGAGGTATACCTCTTCAAGGGCTTCTTTGTAACTTTTGAGGATTTTTTTTTCTTAGAGATACAAATCAGAAGTATTCTAACTATTCCTCGACGACGGACTACCGCACTTTATTTATTTTACCCTGGCTGCATGCTTTCAAGAACATATTATTATTGAGATAATGGTCTTATCTGAGTCTATCGTCCGTATACCTTTCATTTTTCAATACAGAGAAACGGGTAATATTCCTGAGGATTTTCTCACATGCTCTCGATAACCTTTTACAAGAGCAGGTAGCGGCAGGCCTTGGTGGCGCATGCATGTTCAGTATTCACTCCTTCTTGACGCCTATATTCACTACTGTGCTCAATACTTGACATGAACAAATATACGATGGGTGGGGTAGGGAGGATTGTGCCATACATGTCCCAATATACTTTGTCATGATATATTAATGGATTATTGCTGGAGTCGTAATGGTCACCATTTGGTGACTGCCATTCCTGTATCTCGATGATTTATGACAACGGGCAATGGGCATCCAGTCATAGAATGCAACACCGCGCCCCCTCGAGTGACATCGCAGCCCTGTGGTCATATTGTAACATTGCATGATGCATATCATCGGAGAATCGATGCAATATGAACAGGCAGTGGTATGAATCGCTTGGCTGGAAAAATTAACGTCAATACATGCAATCATAGGGGAAGTTTATACAGTTCAGTTGGATGTGTGGCTGCGTTCCAAAATCACGATCTGAGCCTGCCGAATATGCGTTTCGCCATTCGTGTTTCCTTTGCGTTCATCAGGAACTGCCACCTGATAATAGGCATGTAACCTCTGAAACTCTGCTCTTCATCTACTTCCAGCATAATGCTTGTTTTGTTTGTGAACTTCTAACCGAATTTCCAGCCTTCACATCTCTCTTCATTCGTGCTGTGCCGCCTATCTGTTTGGTGTTAGAACTAAGTGTTATGCTTGTTACTGTTATGTGTTTCGGACGAACATTTGGTTGATGTGGTTCGTTTGTTGTTCCTTGACGTGACGTTTCCTGGTGTTCTTTGTAACTTATGCTTCGATGGAAACATTTCTGAATAGCATGGTCTGTATTTTTCAGTCGGAAAACCTGGATGTGAGTAAGCCCTCCTATACACTTCAATCGCATCAATCGCTGAAAGCTTTGCAGTGCACTTGCTTACGCTACGTTTGCTTCTCAGAGTTGTTGACTTTGTGCTCATATCTGACCTTGTTTTCTCACCATATCTTCACCCCTACTGATGCATGGTGTGGCCGCAAAGTGGATGCGATATGCGTGTGTATATCACGCATGCCTTACATCCATTCCACCAACTGACAGCAGAGATCACCTTTTTACCAGCACGAGTGACCAAGCAGCACCATTTTGGTGCATGTGAAGACCGCATTTTTCAGCACCATTATTTGTTTTCCTCGAACGAGTTGTGCACACACACCAGCCATTCATATCTTTGAAACGATTTTGAAATGCGTACGAGAGGATCACCAACACTTTTTTGCCCAATGCAATGCCCAATACTCTTTCTAATGGTTTTGTCTAACTCTATCATCAAATTGTGCTTTATTTTAATACTTGATACATTAAACGGCTCTGGAGGATCTTCTGCAATCGTTGCAAACACCTATCAAAATAACTGTTTCGTTATTCTTTTGTAATCTTGTTGTATTTTAAAGGTAAGTAACTACGATGCAAATGCGGCAATTGACCATACGCCCGTTCATGTCACTCTCTGCCATATGCCCTTTTTCCAGCGCCCAAGGAAGCTGACTGTTCAGTCAGCATCTCACAGATCTGGCCTGGTTTCAGGGTCGGGACGGGCCGTCATCTGTGGCAGTCAGCGTGATCTGCGAGAGGAAGGGCACCACAGACCCGGTGAGAGTCTGAACGCGCCGCCGCGGTCCTTCCAAAAACCGTGCCATCTACCCAGCTCATGATCCACTCATCCAGAAAACATCCACTTCCCCGACGCTTCCGACGGCGTGCCCTGAGGCTAATTCGGCGCACGCTGCGACCACTTCGGCACGCTCGTGCAGCTCAGAACTCGAGCTGCCGCGAGCGACTGATTTTGCAGGCCAGAAAATATCCTCCCGAAACGTTCCATCGGTTTTACGAGAAGAGAAAGCGTTTCGTGAATGCAGGAAGTTTCATGGATGGGTGGATCACCAGTTGGATAGATGGCACTGTTTTTGGAAGGATCGCCGGTCGATGCGTTTTATTATGAGTGCTGGAAAAGCCAACCAATCACGAACTAGTTTTGCTGAAGAGGCAGGTTCTGCAAAACGAAATTATGATGGCATGTCTAGTATCAATAAAAGGACCGTGGCTCAGACGAGTCGCTCGGTCGTAACTCAGAACTCCAAAGCTTTGCACACTTCAAGAACTCCAAGCAAGTTGACAAGATCCACCATTTTAGTCAAGTTTTGAATAAAGATTTCGAAGAAAAATCAAAATAAATTCTGGTAGAAACTGGATACAATTTCATTTATACGCTCCATTGATTCACACGCTCCTATGCAGTTATTCACAGCGATTAATCTAAATGCAGCGCCAGCTCTAACCTAATGGGACAATAACTATGCCTACGAGCATAAGTCCGCCATTCGCCCTCGGACTGACAGTTCGGATGGCCCAGCCGCTCGAACAGGTCAGAACTGTTTCGGACAGCGGCGCCGCTCGTGTGAAATCGATGAAAAATCTGACTGACTGCTTCCGACACGCGAACCACGGGTGATGGCTCGATTTCGGACTCGATGCTTCCATGCCTCGCAAAATGGTCAAAGGAAACTGCGGAGGGGAGGCGTTGTATGTTTATGACCAGCTATATGTTACGGCCGTGTTCGGGAGTGGGTCTAGTTTGAAAGGAGAGCAGTGTGCATGAGTAGAAAAATTGGGGGACAAATTGCATAACGTGAGGAGAGAGAGAGAGAGAGAGAGAGAGAGAGAGAGAGAGTGAGAGAGAGAGAGAGAGAGAGAGAGAGAGAGAGAGAGAGAGAGAGAGAGAGAGAGAGAGAGAGAGAGAGAGAGAGAGAGAGAGAGAGAGAGAGAGAGAGAGAGAGAGAGAGAGAGAGAGAGAGAGAGAGAGAGAGAGAGAGAGAGAGAGAGAGAGAGAGAGAGAGAGAGAGAGAGAGAGAGAGAGAGAGAGAGAGAGAGAGAGAGAGAGAGAGAGAGAGAGAGGTTCGAAGTTGCATGATGCAATGCAAAAACCGATTCGCTCTTACGAAGAAAAAAGGGCACAAACCCTGGAGTTGTAAGAGCCCGGAGACCTTGTCGCTCCTCACTCGCCATTCCTTTTCACTTTTGTCCTTGACATGTCTCTTGCCGGCTGGTTTTGCAGTGTCACAACTCACAACCGTCAAAACAGCACTGTCCAAACACAACACCCGAGGCTACTTATCCGGTGACATTTCTTCACATGTTAGGCCTTGCATGCCTCCGAGGTTCGCCAGCGAAAGTCTCTGTCATGAGAGGTATTGTTCAAGGGAGCCTGACCAAACGACGTGAGACGGGAGCTCAGTGCTGGCGGGGGCGGGGGCGGGCCGCGAACCGCGACCTGCCGCCCCAGCCCCCGCCCCAGGCTCGTATCGCTGGGTCACGCGCTGGCTCCCACGGAGCGACGACCGCGATATACGCCGTCCGGAATTCGGCGGTACATGCAACCTGACATGCAACGGAGACCGCCATGTCGAATGGTCTCTCTCTTCACTTCAACGCAAGCGTGAATGGAAACATAGAAAGGGAAGCTGAAGAGGCTTTATTAAAAATGAAGTTTTTTTTTGTCTTTCGTTTATAAGTTGGTGAAAGAGGACACCGAGGTTGTTGCTTTTGTTTGCTTTTGCCGCAACTTACAGTCGGATGTATAACCATTTGTTTATTGTAGATATGTTCATTTGGTTGGATATCACTTAAAAATGATAGTGACGGACTCACGCGTGTTTTATGTAATCGACTAACAGTCTGTCAATGTGTTTCAGAGTATCGTCATTCCGGTCAATATTCGAGTTCAAGATGTCAATGATAACGCGCCCAGGTTCATCGGAGACCCGTACACATTGAACATATCCGAGGTAAGATATACACCGCAATTTAAGCGCAGTCATATAGCATCATATAAAGCACTGTGTCACGTTGAAGGCAATGTATGACCACGTCATGCGTTCTGGAGCGACATATGGCCGATTTGCTCACGCAAGGATGATCATTGATCGCTTATCACAAACGCGACGCCGCTTGTAGATCATTTTGAACGCCATCACGTTGCGAACATCTAAAAACAGAACAGATCCGAAGTATGCCACCCCGTGTCGTGAGTCACTTCTATGAATCACAATGCTTTACGACAGGCACCACCACGGCGTACCAGCCGTTCCCCGTCTCTTGCATTCGATCTGTGCCGCCCCCATTCAATGCCAAAAGACGCGACCGTAATTTGCCGCCATCGAGAGAAAGCCGGTTACCGACCGAAAGGAATACGCCACCGCCACTGGTGGCGACGCGCTTCATACTCCATTTCTATCGGCGCCGCGGCGCACGCGCTCCAAGTGGGGCGTGATCAGCGGCGCGGCAGAGCGCGGCGACTCGGGTGTTAATGGGGTCACTACAGCATCAGACAGCGGCTAATGACACCCAGTCGAGTCGTATTTGCCCAATCAAAACACATTTTGGTGATATGCTGGGTCGCGCAATGTCAGTGAGGAATAAGAAATGGCCTGGAACGATTTTGTTGTACGACACCGTTGTGCTTTGACAATGCTTTTCACGCTGGAACTACTAGGTCAGCCGCTTGGGGTATCACAGGTGCTAACCTGCGAAAAACTGCAACAAGAATGCTCCTCGCTCGTCAGTTGCAGCAAAGTTACCACATCCCAACGACAAACGCCATGGCCGCAGTGTGGACTGTGGACCCTAAATCACGGCCACTCGCTGGGCCGACCCCACCGCCGTCAACCCCTCCCTGGCGCGGTGATGACGTCACGTCCGGTCGGGGGAGGGGCGGCAGGTGACGCCGCCGGCTTCGCGTCGCCGGCGGCGGGCAGGTGCCGCCAGCGCCGGCGGCGACGCAGCGGCCGCCCAGGCACGCGCCGCCAACAGCCGCGTGGGAACCGCTGCCGCCCCCGCCCCCGCCGCCGCCGCCGCCGCCGCGCCGCGCACCTTTGTCCTCCGGCGGAAACGAGCGATGATACCGGACACGGTGTCTAATGTCCCCAGTCCGGCCCCTTCCTCAGTCCGGTCATGTCCGTTCGGGTCCGGTCCACATGGGTCGTAGCCCTCAGGGGGTGAATCATTGATACATGATACCGTACTGTCTTGACATACTATTGCCGGTGCAACTGACTGACGTTTCTTCATGTAAGGCTTCTCACAAGGATGGTGATGGCTAGACTGTTTCAAAGCTGATTTGGTGCTGGATGACGAAGCCATGATATAGGTTTAGCTCGGTTGATCTAGGTACTAACTAAAAATGCATTCTTTTATAATTTGTCCGAGAGTAACGCTAAGCCTGGTCAGGAAAATACAGAAGAAAAAGATGTTCACAGTTCAGCCGTCTAACAGCTAAAAGAAACCTGCTGGAACATCCACCTTGTTTGTAACGATAGTGTCATAGGGCGGGTGTGGTAACAATTACACGAACACTTGGCACTTAAACTTTTACAGACCTGTCGAAACGCGCATGCAGTTCACTGTATACTCCAATTACAAAACACATATTTCTTCTGCGGACAACACAATGTGATTTTTTTCATTTTGGGCGATTGCGCACTAAGTTGCAGCGTAATGAATGGCCAGGGTGTTCATGCAGCCATGTGATTAGATAGGATGACGTGTCACTGAATATGTTACTCACCGTGGTGGTAACAAGCATCACTCATGGTACTTTTACCCAAACTTTCATCGTAAGTCATAGCGAACTATGCATTGTGGTACCTAAAGTAAAAATGTAAACTCTCTCTCTCTCTCTCTCTCTCTCTTTCTCTCTCTCTCTCTATCTCTCTCTCTCTCTCTCTCTCTCCCTCCCCTTTCCTCTCCTCTCTAACCGGCAGGTAACCGTTCCGGGCACGGTGGTTCTTCAGGGCATCAAAGCCGTGGATGCCGATCAGCAGGGTCCCTTCTCTACCGTCCACTACTCCGTCATCGAGGGAAACTACGCCGTGAGTGTCGCTCACAATCTCAAAGAAGGCGCTGAGGTTGAACTATCTGTCTCTCGGCCCTCGGGATGGTTAACTGTCTACAGTTACAGTCTGCTTTTAGTTTATGAGAGCCAGAAAATTATGGCATACGTTTGGTGCTTACGAGTCCACTGGGAGATATGTGACTCACTCTGTTCACTGGAGAGGCCCTTGTCTTTGTGACACCGGTGTCACGCTCCGCGGCTGATGTGTCACGGCCCCGTCACGGCACGCGTCACGTCCTGTGCACGCGCTGCGTCACGAAATGGCGCACTCACTACCCAGCCAGGACGCTGTTTGTTCACCGGTTGGACAGAAGGGGTACCACTCTGCTGGCGTTGTTAAGTGTAAAGTAGCCTGACTCTGACTCACAGCCCAGTTAGCGCTAAAGCGATCGTCTTAAACGTGATTATATTTCAGCATCGCCTGGGTTACCACTTTTTAACTAAAGCGTAATATAATATCAAAGCAGCGCTTTGATATATCAGCGCTGCTTTGTATCAAAGCAGCGCTGATGAGACCTTCCGGTCTCATCAGCGCTGACCATTGCCCGACCCCTCGGCCGGTCAGCCCACTCCTCAGCCAGTCCGGGCTGTGCCAGGCACTGCCGCACCGATCCGGCTCCGCAGTATGGATCCGCGATTAGGCTGGCCAGTGGCAGTGGCACGCTATTATTTGTCATTACTAGTGATTGCTGGACTCCCAATGTCAGTGGACGGCTGGGGTAATTGTGAGGGAGTGTCGTGCGCTATATGACACTGCTACGTCTATGACACTGCTAGTCCCAAACAGAAAGGGAAGACCAGAATTGTCATCAGAATGACACTGAACTGTCAGCGGTAGACAAGCAAGGAAACTTCATGTTTATTGTACATAGACGCTGCTAAATTTGTGATGCACGTAACGCACGAGTGTGTCTATGCTTTAGAGCTAGAGCACCAGATAATCTTGAGTGAACCCAGGTCACCGAACAGCTCATGTTTGCCTCCAGACAATGTCACAGCCAAAAAAAGCAGCATTGTTTCATGTGCAGTTGTTGACCCTAGCGAACTGGGCTGAATCGGCCGGGGCTGGGCCATTGTTGACAGTAGTCTCGTGGCCCGCAACCCTTCCCAAGGACGGTGTTTTATTAGGGTGGTCCATAACGGCTTGCTGGATACAATGTGACGAGTGCTGGCGGGTTGTAACGACGCCGTACAGTTACGTCAGTTGAGATAGTTAATAGCTACGGAGCGATGCATGCAAACGAAAAAGCAAACCCACGACGGTATACGAATAGGTACCTGCACATCAAAAATGATATTTGATTTGTTTAAACTTTACAGGGTGTCCGGAAATTGATTGCACACTGTCCATATTCACGTATCTTGCACGTGCTCCCGCCAAACCGCTTAGGGATGTTCGCGACCCCGCCCCCGGGCACCCCAGCGTGTCAGGTGATCACGTGACCCAGCAGGTGACCTGACCCCAGCCGCAGTGAGTGGCCACTGGTCGCTTTCCGAGAGGTAGTCTTCGCACGCGGACCACATATCAGGAATGGTGAGGGAGCACACTTTGGCGACGCGCCACCGCGCGGTTGGAATGGTTGAAACCGGGATGACGGTAGGTGCAATGTTGCCCGACAAGTGGATGTATCTCGCCGGACCCTTCATTACTGACTGGTTCTCGACCGCAGCGGTGCAGCACTGAAGAATCGCAAGGGCCGTGGGAGAAAAACTGTGCTGAGCAGAGTGGCCAAAATCGTGCTCGCTAAGGCCGTGCTGAAAAGACGCCAATCGACGCGGAAACTGGCCAAAAAGCTGACTGAGAAGGGTCAAGCGGTGTCGAAGACCACTGTTCACAACTACATGGCAAAGTGCCTGGGTCTCAAACCGCTCAATCTGCGCCGGCAGCCAAAACTGGCCGAAGCCCAGAAGCTGAAGCGTCTGGTATTTGTCCGGGAGCAGAAGAACTGGACCATTCAGGACTGGCGGCGCGTCTTGTTCAGCAATGAGTCTGTGTTCGAGCTCATGCACCCGCGCTGAATCGCCAGAACGAGCGCGTCTGGGCGCACAACAGTGCTGAAGTACCTGCCATCGACACGGTGAAGCAGCCGCTGAAACTCATGGTCTGAGCCATGGTGAGTCATTGAGGCCTGTCAGAGCTCCACATCTTCCCCCGCGGTCAGGCCGTGACGGCCCAGTACTACGTGAAGGAGTTCTGAAGAAGTCTGCAGCTTCCGCGATAAGCAGAAGAGGCAGACGGGGGCGCCAACACAGGTCGAGCTGCTCCCGAAGATGTCCGAGGCGATCTTCCAGCAAGACGGTGCTTCAGCTCATCACGACGCCAGCACTCAACGGTGGTACTCATAGGCGGCGGAACGGGGGGGGCACCGGGGCACCGTGCCCCCCCTTGAATTCTGCAAGGGGGGCACCAATAGCAAGGTGCCCCCCTTAAATTTGATGTATTAGTACCAGGGGCGGATTCGGGAAAACTCTAAGGGGAGGTTCATGAATCGAAGTGGTGCCCCTACCTATGCCCAAAATTAAAACCTCAACGGATTTCGGCCACTTAATTTTGGTGGTGCCCTATTTTCAGTTTTTTTCTTTATTTTTGGCTAGTCATGTGATGACTGGTGCCCCTGCTAAGCCGCTGGTGCCCCTGGAAAGACTGTGGTACCTACCTACCCTGCCCCCTGACAAGCCTACGGTGGGCCCTGACATGACTTAGGTGCCCATGGGCCCTGACAGGCCCGTGGTGCCCCTGACAGGCCTGTGGTGTCCTTGCTAGGCCTGTGGTGTCCCTGGGCCTTGGCAGGTTTGTGGTGCCCCTGTTAGAACGCAGGTGCCCTTGACAGGTTTGTGGTGCCTCTGACAATCCTAAATTGCCAACGACAGGCTTGTGGTGCCCTTGACAGGCCCATGGTGCCCTTGCGAAGCCGGTGGTTCCCCTGCGAAGCCGATAGTGTCCCTGACAGGCCTCTGGTGCCCCTGGCAGGTCTGTGGTGCCCCTGGAAGACCTGTAGTGCTTTTGCTAGGCCGATGGTGCTCCTGACAGGCCTGTGGTGCTACTGACAGGCCCGTGGTGCCCCTGCTAGGCCTTTGGCACCCCTGGCGGGCCTGTGGTGCCCCTGTCGGCTGTCAGGCCTGTGGTGCTCCTGGCAGGCATGTGGTGACCCCAGGCCCTAAGTCATGACCCATGTGACCTCCACCCTGGGATTCGCCACTGATTAGTACTGCGATGGCTTCTTGGGAATTATACATGTAGGATAAATGGAATTTATCAAACGACAATAAGGAAGAGACAAACACATAGGTACTTGAGGATCAGCTTAAAGTTAACCACACATACGGGCAGGGGTGTAATTTTCCTAAAATGATTGTGGGTGCCCAGCTGTAGGGGCGCCCGGCGCCAGGCCGTTTTGGGGCGCGATAGATATTCTTTATGTGGGAGCCTAAATTAACACCGAATTTGATAACATTGCTAGCCGAATGGCGCTTCAAGTGACGTGTCTGACTAAGCAAATACACGCCTAAAAGTGGAAACTGACCGTAAGGACGTAAAAAATATGTAGAGAGGCGCCATCCAGTAGGAGGGGCACCAAATGTGGAGGCGCCAGACGGTTACGACTTACGAGGGCGCCGTGAGACGATGAAAAGGGCGCCATTCTCTTAGGAGGGCGCCGAGTGATTGAAAACGCTATGTGGTCCAGGGGCGCTAAGAGGCCAGAAGGGCGCCGCACAGTCAGTAGTGCTACGTTGGTGGGGACGTGGGGGCGCCAGATGGTTACGAGGGCGCCTTGAGATCATGAAAAGGGCGCCATTCTCGTAAAAGGGTGCCGAGTGATTGAAAACGCTATATGTGGTTCAGGGGCGCTGAGAGGCCAGAAGGGCGCCGAATAGTCGAGGGATGCGCGGTGAACAGAGACCATAAGGACGCGCGACGGTCAGGAGGGCGCCGTTAGACCATGAGAATGGCGTGGTGCTGTCAAAAGTGCGCCGTTCTCCCAGAAGGGCGCCGAGTGATCAAAACGCTATCCATGAACGCGAGACGGTCAGGAGGACGCCGTTAGAGCATGCGAAGGGCACCGTGCTCTCGAAAGGACGCTTGCAGCCTTGTAAAAGACTTGTGGGTGCCTTTTCATCATTGTGGGGGCATACTTCAGGATTGTGGGTGCATATGCCCCCACAAAGAGATATAAAATTAGGTACACCCCTGCATACGGGGGTGAACTGCCATTTTCGTTTAGTAAAAAAAAAAAACAAAAAAAAATATCGTGTCAGGGCTGTGACGAAAAATAAGTGGCCTAAATCCGATGAGAAAACAGGATTTGGGGGTACCCTAGGTTTGGCTCCTTGAGCCATGGTGCCCCCCCTTGTCTCAAATCGTTCCGCCGCCTATGGTGGTACTGGGACAACCTCCCAGGGCTTTGGGACAAGGGTGTGTGACTGGGCAACAGCTCTGACCCGTCTCCCATCGAGAACTTGCGGCTATCGTGCAGAGCGAGCTCGACATGATGGAGCCGGCTATCACCGAGCAAGCGCTTATCAGGAACCTCCAGTGAGCGTGGCTCAGCATTAGTGCAGAGACACTGTATAACCTGATGTGTGGCATGCACGACCGTATGAGGGAGTGTGTGCGATTGGGTGGAGGGTATATCGGTAAATAAACCATGACCCATGCATGTTTTGTTTCCTTGTTAAGTGGACTAGAAGAGTGCGCAATCAATTTCCGGACACCCTGTAAAGAGAAAGTACAATATGGGGAATGCGAAGATAGCCAGCAGTAACTTTATATTTTAGGGACTTTATATGAGTTAGATAGATAAAAGGAAAGTAATATGGGGATCAGTCACATGATTGTGTACGGTTCTGACGACAAGACTACCCCACAGGAGTATATTGACTTTGCGAATGGATTGGACGGTACCCTGCGACTGAAGCAGCAGCTCGACTTCGAGACTGTACAGCAGTTCCGACTCACCCTGCGTGCTGAGGTGAGGAAATGCTTCCACCAGTTCCAACGCTTTCACATGTGATGTCAGCATCTTGTAATCTTCAGTAGATTGTCACAACAATTCAACTGCATTGAGATCCATATGTGCCGAGTGAAGCAGTTCAAAAAGCTTTTGTTTTTGTTTATGGCCGAGCTCTATATTGAGCCAGGTGTTGACGTTATGTAATCTTGTTAATAACTTCATGCTGATCGATCGCTCCTCTAGATCAATGATGACCCTGCCGTGATACCACATCTCTGTCGATTCAATTCCACAGGACCAGGGCGACCCAGTCCGGTCCACGGAGGCCATTCTGACGGTGAACGTGATCGACGCGGACGACCAGAACCCGCGCTTTTTCGACGACCGCTACGTCACCACGCTGCCCACAGAGCCTCGCCAGGTGGGTGTGGATCAGGGCTGTGGGAACGAAGGGCTCATGGTTTTCTTACTTGCTGAAATTCTGAATGTTTTTTCATAACTCGAATTAATAAGAGCAAAGATCGCAAAGGTCACATGACTTAAATATCTACTGTTTTATACATACCTTCATCCACTGTTCATCGCGATATAAAAGTCCTGTTTCCGAGGCCAGCTAACAGTGCATGTTTTGCCTTACACCTCGAGGTCCCTCTATAACCAACGTAACTCACCATTTGGTGCAACCCAAACTCAGTTGTAATGATCCGGTCACGTGCAAACGCGAAATTAGTAAACACTAAACGCCCCTTGTGTAATAACAATTTTATACGGTGACCTGTAATCACTTCCACGTTCTGGGTTTTGAGCAAGTGGAATTCATATCCAGTGCTAGTTTTACCTGCCCAACGTTTACATGACAATGATATTCACAACGTGTGTGTGTGTGGGGGGGGGGGGGGGGTTGGGGTTGGACTGTTCATGCAATCCAGTTTATATGTATGATTACAATTAAAACATCGTTGGGTGGGACGTCAATGAACAGGATTCACGGTCAGTGCTATTTGTGTTTTTACTTCTTCCTTACTTCCTGTTATTTCCGGTAATTTGGCGCGCCATTTGGTGTTTCGTATGTCGTTTCTGTCCCCACTAGCCTTGGCCTGACAGTTATAATTGCGCGGTACCTAATAATTGCTCGATTCAATTTCAAAATGTGTTATTGGTCGTGTTTACCCCCAGGGTGACGTGCTGACACTTCGACCACGGCGCCTGCGGGCATTTGACCAGGACATTGGGATCAATGCGCCGGTCACATACGCTTTCACATCAGGTAAGGCGACTGTCGGACTGATGCGGATGTGCTACGCTGGCTAGTTCAATATAGATGCGCAATTGTTGTGTTTTCTTTCTACAGCACTGCATCGTCTATTACGATTGCTATAAAATATAAGAGCAAATATTTTTTTTTGCAGTAGAATTATAGCGTAGCATAAATTTTCAGTGATAGACGGTTACAGTTCGTTTCAAGGCATGACGATTTGAATTAACATTTAACCACCTGTCACAAGTACATGCTCTACCATATCTGGCATAACCGCGGTCAGTTTTCGACCGTCCCCTAACCACGGCCACGGTCACGCTGCTCTGACCATCTGTGTACATACGCTGACGTCACCGTCTCCATGACAACCCTCAGATGGCGCCGACTCGCATTATTTCGCCATTGATCGAGAGTCCGGAGAGATCTCGATCGCCGAGACCATCCCAGACTCGGAGCTGCTCCAGCCCATCACACTTGTTGTCAAGGTAACCGGGTCACGGCTGACGGCGTTACCATAACAACAGCGGTCACCTGAACAGACGCCGGTTTTTATGACAGGCTGGAGAACAAGGGTGGTCGTCAAGGCCCTATATAGAAGGTATGCTCATTAGGCCGAAGCAGCGATTTCCGTGACGTCACAGGTACGAAGGGTCGGACGGCTGTAATGCAATCCTATGGAAAATGACCCAACTTTAGGGCTCTCCCACATAGCTGCCAATTTCGACACTAAGGTAAAAGTTATATCACATAAAAGCTCAAATCAAGACGAACAAGAAACCTATCTGACGTTTTTAGTATTACTAACGGCTTAGACTCTATTCAAGTATATTCAGAGCTCTGCATTACCTCACTTTTTCTGCCGTCAATGCCACTACAAATGTCTAGTCGGCGCACGTGCGCTTGTCGAGCGGGGACCACCAGTCGGGCGATTCAGAGCTGCCGCCCAATCAGAACGCCGCAATGCCGTGACGTCATTGGTCGCACACGACACGTTACGGAGATAGGGATGAGACAGTCCTGGGTGGTCGTAAATGAAATTTTGTTTGTGCTGTAAGGATCGGTGAAAAATGCTGTTGATACATGTAGCTGAACGGTGCCTGAGTAGGTAGAGCACGTATGTTGTTTCGAAAGGGCCATGAGCAAGTGCTTGATCGATGTAAGCGCAATTCGTCGTTACCATTTACCCTTTACCTAGAGTTGCATTATTTGAATTAGCGCACACATTCAATAATACTCGTAAAAACACCTCAAAGCGGATCCGCGTACCTATAGCGTAAAAGAAGTTGAAAATAACATCCTAAACAATCTATATGGATTGAAATATCAATTCAATACCCTTCGCAATAGACATAATATTTATTATGTTAATAGACATAATATTTATTATGTTACAAGATAGCGCAAGGCGGTGGTGCGCTCCGAAGCAGGCATGTCTCTGGCTCCTCTTTCTAGATGTCGCTAGTGACCGGCGCCTGAAAATATGCTGTGCCGTATGGCATCTATTTACGGCTGCCGTCCCTAGATGGCAGCAGCGGTTGACACCTGAATGTATGCTGTACCGCATAACACGACTAAAAGCCTACGCGAAGATTTAGTCGCATATGATGATTTTTGGTTCACTGAGATCTATAATTCCAAGTCCAGACTCATGGAGAAACCCTTCCGTAGGCTTATGAGTAGGTTATCAGCGGGTTGAAACAAAATCCTGGCTGATGAATCATGTAGGGGAAGGTGGGGTAAGACGGCCCAGCGGGGCAAGACGGACCACCAGCCCTCCCGGCTGAACCGCTGCTGGTATCTACTGCTTTATGCACTCACTATGTTTGTTTTCCTTCGTAACAATGGCCACCTTGAGCTCATGCTGCTAGGATGGATAGCTTTTGAGTTATTGAGAAAAATGTTGTTTTTCGTCAAACCGATCTAATATAAGAGGTCTACGGGTGATTCAATTACGGCACCTTTCTTGCATGATTAGTTTCTATTTTGCACTTAGCTGTGAAGAACAAAGTTATAAACTTAGTTATAGTCGCACTTTAGGAAAGGCAAGGTTTTGCAATGTTGGGCTATTTGACATATACGTCATGATAATGACAGAATTTAGATTTGGGGCAAGACGGACCACTGTGGTCCGTCTTACCCTGTGGTGGTCCATTGCACCCTGCATATGGAAAGTTCTTTTCCAAAACATTGACACAAGCTTAAGTAAGCTAATTTTTCAGGAAGGAATCTTTGTTGCATGTGAGCCATGCATGCAAGTGCTCAGTTAGCATGCATTCATGCCAAACGACAATCAACACACGTGTTCCCAGCTTTTAGCTGCACTGCCATCACACATGAGTAAAGAATAAAGGCTCATTTTGTTATTTTACCATTCTGGTTACTTTTTCTTACAAGAGTACAGAGCAGAAGTGTAACACACATGAACGGATAGCAGGCACTGCTGGGTGGTCCGTCTTACCCCACATTTTTTCTTGTCTGAGTTTTTGACATGTCCCTCTTTAAGAGCATCCACCACCTAGATGTCTTTAATTTGAAATTTAGTCTTTACACATATCAACAGAGGAAGGATTGAGCATTCCTAAGACTATAAATAATATGAATTACGAGAGCAGTGTAGCAAGATATGCGGCCTCAAACCTTAGCTGGTCCGTCTTACCCCACCTTCCCTTAGGTATGCGAACGATGATCAGCTTGCAGATACCTATGCGTACGCAAACAAGCTGCATAATCTAAAAACAAACTATTTGTCTCACGTTTTGGGATTGCCTAGCATCGTGATCACTGACTTCCTCAGCCCTCTAGCGGTAAATCTCTGACCTGCGACCTCTGACCTGCCCTCAGGCGACCCAGGTGGACAACGCCGACCGGTATGCGCTGACGACGCTCACCGTTCGCCGCGAGGGGGTGTTCACCGAAGATCTTCAATTCGTGCAGGCCAACTACGTGGCTAGCGTGCTGGAGAACCGACGCGTCGGATCGGTCATCCTGACAGTCATCACCAACCGGCTCAGCGACCCGGTTAGTGACGAAAAGTGACCCACTATTCGGTCTATCCAAGACCCCGTGCTTTACTATCCAAGTCAGTTACCGTCAACCGTGTTCATTTGTGACAGAAAATCCGCTCAGTAGAGGGCCAATGGAAGCTAGATATGCGCAAAGATAGGACAGCCGGAAATGATTTGGAGGTACCCAACTGCATGCAGATAAAATACGAACATACCTCGCTCAATTGAACACCTGGCTTGGCGAAACTTTCCACGATGGTATTGGCATAACACTGACCCTGCGCTAAGTTCGAAGGTGTATCGGCTGCTCTGTCTCACCTATTTTCTTATTAGACCAAACACCAGCAGCCCTGTCAACCCCTATCCCCGTTGCTCTCCAGAGTGTGCGGTACTACATGCCCGAGCAGCCGAGCCAGTTCAAGATCCAGCGGAACGGCGAGGTGGTTCTCGTGGAGCCGCTCGACTACGAGACGCAGGACCGGCTCAACTTCTCCGTGGTGGCCACCAACGGACGACAGGTGAGGCTGGGGCGAGCCCTGGGCTGCTCTCGATCAGTCACTAGACAGGGTTAGGCTCAAGTTTTCGAATGTGGCAGTAGATGGCAGTGAGATCTGTATGCCTGGTTACACTGCACGGCTGAGGACGTCCTGTCGACGCCGCTGGTATTTTCCGATAGAAGACCTATAATAGTTAATGTTCCATATACAGTAGGCATCGTGCTTTCAATTTTGATATTTGCATTTATTTATTTATTCGAAAACAAGGTTTCTTACCTCAACTCACTAAAAAATATCATCTTAGATGGATAACAGCAGCTTTGTTTTAATCACCAAACGGTGATTTTCACACCTATTATAATGCTTACAGCCTCATACATTATAATGATAAATAATAATAATAATAATAATAATAATAATAATAATAATAATAATAATAATAATAATAATAATAATAATAATAATAATAATGTTTATTTCATGCCATCAGAGGCACATAACAATTATAATAACTCTCTGAAAATCTCCTGAAATTATAATAAGCCTCTGCCTTTTTGCCAGACGGATACTGCAAACATCTCCATAATCGTGCTGAACGTCAACGACTGGGACCCTCGCTTCCGCTACCCGAGTTTCGACTTCGCGGCCTCGCCGAGCGCCCGACCCGGTGACGTGGTGGGTCGTCTGACGGTGTATGACGGAGACCGCGGCGACCGCGTCTCGCTCGGACTGATGGGACAGGATGCCAGGTAGGTGGGAGGATGGTGGAACGGGATGCTAGCTAAGAGGAAAGGTAGAAATGTTATATGATGGTTGGAGAAGTCGTGAAACAGGACGCTAGGCTGGGCGCAAACCAGGTGGATGAGGCATTGTGAGATGAGGTGCTGGATGGGAAAAGGGATGATTCCTTCTGAAATATAAAAGCTTAGGTATCAGCTTAAAACAAATTATATCTTCCACAATGTGTCAAGATTTATAATCTTGCATAGTTGATTACGTTCATCCCTACGCCTCAAGCGAGACTCCTTTGCGAAGTCCTCCCAAAAGAAGTATTGCGAATCTTGATGAGAAGACTATCCTACAAATGCACGTCTGCACCACAGGGGTTTCTCGGTGACCAAAGAGGGTGACCTGGTGATCCGCGATGTCAGCGTCCTCAACTCGTCCGTGGCACACCTGGTGGCGGTGGCCAGAGACAGCGGAGTGCCTCCGCGACGGGTGAGTGATCCGCATCTCTCTCTCTCTCTCTCTCTCTCTCTCTCTCTCTCTCTCTCTCTCTCTCTCTCTCTCTCTCTCTCTCTCTCTCTCTCTCTCTCTCTCTCTCTCTCTCTCTCTCTCTCTCTCTCTCTCTCTCTCTCTCTCTCTCTCTCTCTCTCTCCTCTCTCTCCTCTCTCTCTCTCTCTCTCTCTCTCTCTCTCTCTCTCTCTCTCTCTCTCTCTCTCTCTCTCTCTCTCTCTCTCTCTCTCTCTCTCTCTCTCTCTCTCTCTCTCTCTCTCTCTCTCTCTCTCTCTCTCTCTCTCTCTCTCTCTCTCTCTCTCTCTCTCTCTCTCTCTCTCTCTCTCCTCTCTCTCTCTCTCTCCTCTCTCTCTCTCTCTCTCTCTCCTCTCTCTCTCTCTCTCTCTCTCTCTCTCTCTCTCTCTCTCTCTCTCTCTCTCTCTCTCTCTCTCTCTCTCTCTCTCTCTCTCTCTCTCTCTCTCTCTCTCTCTCTCTCTCTCTCTCTCTCTCTCTCTCTCTCTCTCTCTCTCTCTCTCTCTCTCTCTCTCTCTCTCTCTCTCTCTCTCTCTCTCTCTCTCTCTCTCTCTCTCTCTCTCTCTCTCTCTCTCTCTCTCTCTCTCTCTCTCTCTCTCTCTCTCTCTCTCTCTCTCTCTCTCTCTCTCTCTCTCTCTCTCTCTCTCCTCTCTCTCTCTCTCTCTCTCTCTCTCTCTCTCTCTCTCTCTCTCTCTCTCTCTCTCTCTCTCTCTCTCTCTCTCTCTCTCTCTCTCTCTCTCTCTCTCTCTCTCTCTCTCTCTCTCTCTCTCTCTCTCTCTCTCTCTCTCTCTCTCTCTCTCTCTCTCTCTCTCTCTCTCTCTCTCTCTCTCTCTCTCTCTCTCTCTCTCTCTCTCTCTCTCTCTCTCTCTCTCTCTCTCTCTCTCTCTCTCTCTCTCTCTCTCTCTCTCTCTCTCTCTCTCTCTCTCTCTCTCTCTCTCTCTCTCTCCTCTCTCTCTCTCTCTCTCTCTCTCTCTCTCTCTCTCTCTCTCTCCTCTCTCTCTCTCTCTCTCTCTCTCTCTCTCTCTCTCTCTCTCTCTCTCTCTCTCTCTCTCTCTCTCTCTCTCTCTCTCTCTCTCTCTCTCTCTCTCTCTATCTCTCTCTCTCTCTCTACGGTCTAGATAAAGAAGGCCATATTTCACTCTCACTCTCCAGGAAAAAAATATAATACATCGTGTCATCTTCTCACTATGTATCGTCCTATGTTTTAATTATGGTTGTACTTCAGAATAATATATGATACAAATAAGAACCTTATATTTGGCAAAGTGCCAAACTTATTGCTGTTCTGAATATTGATGGAAGCTAGAAACGGAAACGGCTGTGTGAGAAATTTCTCTGTCCAGTCTAGACGATGAAAATCAATACACTCATGTTCCCTGTAAAATACTATCGGTCATGTTTAACAACTCGATTAAATCAGCATTATAAAGCTCTCACGAACATTTCCTATGTTAAACAAAACATGTCCTAGAAGTCGGGTCAACACAGTTATGTGAGCCGCCTACGTCAACGGCTTCATCGGAATTAAACAGTGTGAACATGATGGTTACCATGGGTCAATGAGCATTAATTGCATAAAACATCGGTCACTCAGACTGGAAATATGTGTCTTCGATGTCATTTCCCGAGGCCAATTAAGTGGAGCGGAAGCGAATATCACGATTCGGCGGCCTTCCCGAGCGTCGGCGGGCGATACTTTGAACAATAAAACGACATTGTGCTTATGGTACAGCTCTTGACTGCCTCAACCTTCAGCATAAGGCAAAGAAGTTAACACCGTGCTCTCGGAAAATGAAGCGACAATACAAATTGACGGCGACCGGCTGTTCTGTGACAATTGAGTCACGGTAAATCGCCAGTGAGGTCTACATTGCATTTCACTTTGGACAGGCATTGCCATAAGCGAACTGGATGGAGCATGCATGAAAATGAACAAAACCTACGCTAAGAAAATTGAGTTAAATATTACAAACGCTGAATAGTGAATACAGCCCTAACGACGCGCGTTGCCAACGCCAGTCTGTCTGCTCAAATCTGGTATAGCTCTGCTGTCTGCTGTTGCTTCGGATCCAATGGAAAAACGCCCAGACCCGAAGTCTGCCATCAGCCCCACTGTCCCTCTAAGTTTCAGAAATCAGTAGCTACCATTCCGTTTTTCAGTCATCAGTCATGTTTAACATCGGGCCATGTTTTGGTCGCCAGTGACGCCGCCACTATGTGATTCAGTCAGAAACACCGCTACTCTATGTGTTTCAGTCTTCTGTACCGGTGACGGTTCGTTTCCCACAAGAGCTACTCGGACCCAGCACCCGGGCTGAGAGCTCACTACTGCTGATGATCATATTCGGAGTGCTGCTCGGAGTCCTGATTCTGGTCATCGTCACACTCGCTCTCTACATCTGCAAATAGTGAGTACCGCCGAGTCTCGAGAAACATGTAAGTCAGAAAAAGTCAATAGGATAATGGTTGTCGTCTTGGGTTGTTCCTTCAGCGGGTGCATGAGAATATGCAGTAACGGGAAACACCCGATGTTTCCCGGATTTGTGCATTCTGTAATGATGTCAGTTTTCGTGTACCACTTACAATGTGTTGCTTGGTTATGCATTGCTAAGTCATGATATAAATGTGCAATGCGTTCTGTAAGAAACTGCGGAAAGCAGCTTACATACTTGTCATTTAGCCGCCAAATGCAACAAATGCAATCCCCAATCATACGAGCCGCGTTTTTCCCGGAAGATCATACAATAGCAAAACAAATGTAACATTTGCGTGGATTGCTGTAACACCTTTGCCGTTCCTTTTAGTAAGAAACAATCGACGCGGGACACGTTCGTCTTATTTTTAGACAAACACACAGGGTTTGTAACTACTTGGGTAAATCCTGAATCTGTCGAAGATGCTAAAAATCACAAAAACACCTGTATTTGTACAACTACCATAACCAAAATTCACTGCAATAAATACTACATATCCAGGACATTTTAAAAAGACAAAAGCGACATACAAAACATGACAATGCGATTATAATAGTATTTAATGAGCAATTTATATTTCCGACAAATGAGCGGCCATGGAGAAGGTAACGAGACGTGTCCAGTGTCCACTCCCAATGTGAAACACAAAAGCATTGAAAAGTTGGTGCTATCCGTTTACCTTTTGAACATGATGGATAAGTGTGGTAGGATACATCGCTGTAAGCTTATGAATTCAAACATAAATGAATAAATACTACCACAGATAACAATAGTACTACTGTTATCTGTGATAATGCGTATGTTGCGATGCCTTAAAACATTTTAGGGGTGGAAAAATCAACGTATAGGTATGACCAATCTGTTTTTCCTTCAATAAGTACACACAGATTCGAATACGCAGCACTGTCCTTGAACATATCCTGCAATCAACAAATAAAAACGCACACTTACAGTCGGTTGGGAGCCAAATTATTGTTTCTCATAACACAAAGAGTGTTGGGCCTCCCGTCCGTATGCGCTGAAACGATTTTCCTGCGGAAGCCGCCTGACTATATAGTTTGCCGTTATTTCCTTCTTGACGCCAGAATGTAACCTTCAAAGATGAAAGAAACTCTTTCAGACTACACACAATGCGCTTTTATAGGGCCTATGAGCAACCATTACTGGAATTGAGGTGTTCCTAAACGGTATGCATGATAAAATGAACAGCCTTGATTGGTTTTTAAGTGCAGAAGTTTATGTCGGTAAAATATTAACCAGCACCGAACGCATGTTGGCTTATAAAAAGAGCAATGATGACCTGAAATTAAGAGGAAACCACCTAACTACCTAACCAGTATAACGCCTTTGGGGGCTTGTTTTGGGCGACTAACGGAGCGAGCGAGAGAGTAGGCCTTGCACGTGCGAAATTGCGAGGGGGTACCTCCAACTGACTTGTGCACGGCACCCTACTAACCGGTCTCTAGCGATGTGCCAAATTTGGGCACAATCGGCCCAGCCGTTCTCGAGATCTGGAAGCGGCACCCTGCACGTGCGCACGTGCAAAATGGGTCCCAACTGACTTGTGCACGGCACCCTACTAACCGGTCCCTAACTGTGTACCAAATTTGAGCGCAATCGGTCGAGCCGTTCCCGAGATCTGGAAACGACCCCTGCACGTGCGCACGTGCTGCAGCACCCCAACTCTGGCACATGGATATGCAGTGCCTAGTGGGTGCCTACCTACCTGCCAACTTTCAGCGCAATCGGCCAAGTAGTTACCGAGATATTGCAACAAATACAAAACTGACACCTCTTCGTTTTGCACGTGGCACGTGCATAAGGGATCACCCACATGCATCGGGATAGTCCAATACTTGGTAGAAGGAATGAAGGTACCCTACAAAAATTACCGCATGTAAATCGGTCAAGTGGTTGCTGAGATATAAGCCTCGCAAAAGCGTCCGCACGGCCGGCCGGCCGGCCGCTCATACTCAGAAATTTCCGTTAATCTAAGGAAAGACTACGCTCGCTTCGCTCGCTCCGTAATAAATGGTTTGCATTGCGTTGATACCTACCAGTATAACGCCTTTTGGGGCGACTAACGGAGCGAGCGAGAGGGTGGGCCTTGCACGTGCGAAATTTCGAGGGGGTACCTCCAACTGACTTGTGCACGGCACTCTACTAACCGGTCTCTGGCGATGTGCCAAATTTGAGCACAATCGGCCCAGCCGTTCTCGAGATCTGAAAGCGGCACCCTGCACGTGCGCACGTGCAAAATGGGTCCCAACTGACTTGTGCACGGCACCCTACTAACCGGTCCCTAACTGTGTACCAAATTTGAGCGCCATCGGTCCAGCCGTTCTCGAGATCTGGAAACGACCCCTGCACGTGCGCACGTGCAGCAGCACCCCAACTCTGGCACATGGATATGCAGTGCCTAGTGGGTGCCTACCTACATGCCAACTTTCAGCGCAATCGGCCAAGTAGTTACCGAGATATTGCAACAATTACAAAACTGACACCTCTTCGTTTTGCACGTGGCACGTGCATAAGGGGTCACCCACATGCATCGGGAATAGTCCAATACTTGGTAGAAGGAATGAAGCTACCCTACAAAAACTACCGCGTGTAAATCGGTCAAGTGGTTGCTGAGATATAAGCCTCGCAAAAGCGTCCGCACGGCCGGCCGGCCGGCCGGCCGGCCGGCCGTGGTCACGCTTTTGCGAGGCTTATATCTCAGCAACCACTTGACCGATTTACACGCGGTAATTTTTGTAGGGTAGCTTCATTCCTTCTACCAAGTATTGCACTATTCCCGATGCATGTGGGTGACCCCTTATGCACGTGCCACGTGCAAAACGAAGAGGTGTCACTTTTGTAATTGTTGCAATATCTCGGTAACTACTTGGCCGATTGCGCTGAAAGTTGGCATGTAGGTAGGCACCCACTAGGCACTGCATATACATGTGCCAGAGTTGGGGTGCTGCTGCACGTGCGCACGTGCAGGGGTCGTTTCCAGATCTCGAGAACGGCTGGACCGATTGCGCTCAAATTTGGTACACGGTTACGGAGCAGTTAGTAGGGTGCCGTGCACAAGTCAGTTGGGACCCATTTTGCACGTGCGCACGTGCAGGGGGCCGCTTCCAGATCTCGAGAACGGCTGGGCCGATTGTGCTCAAATTTGGCACATCGCTAGAAACCGGTTAGTAAGGTGCCGTGCACAAGTCAGTTGGAGGTACCCCCTCGCAATTTCGCACGTGCAAGGCCCACCCTCTCGCTCGCTCCGTTAGTCGCCACAAAAGGCGTTATACTGGTGATACCAACGATCATGAGCACGGTCCATATTCCGCTTCACTTTCAATGACCATTTAGCGTATGAAGTACACTGGTATGTACAGGTCTCGCGGGTTTTAGCGGTAGATTTTGCACCTAGAAAATTAAGTGTACTTCAGGCTATATCTTCGCTCGTCTTAAGCTTTTAAGTGTTGAAGATGCGATCGACTTGTTGGTTCACAAGCCGGCCATGATTGTATAAAATGGCTTCATCGTAGATCGATTAGTTTCTGAGATATAACCGGAAATGTAAAAGTGCAAAACCTACCACTTAATCTCGCGAGAGCCGTAGCCCGTACATACCTAATGGTGTGCTAAGAGCAAAAGATATTTAAAAGTTAGCATACATCCATGATCCATTATATGGCTAATGAAAGGTATTATTTATCGTTAAAAGAAGTTGGCGGCAATAGCCGTTTTCACGACGGGCTATCCGGCGAATGCACCTGATTTGACCAAATCTGCACCTAATTCCTCTGCAGCAAATATCTTCATTTTATGAATTTATTTCAGTACTTATAATCGATGATGCTCTCTGATAATATGACAAAGGCATATAAGCAATTAGTGCAACCCTAGCTGATAGCTGCTAAGAGACACACTGAACCTGATTTGACCAAATCTGCACCTAATCTGTACCAGATGTGCACCAAATGTGTACCAGATGGCCGTCGTGAAAACGGCTAATGTAGACTGGACATAAGTATACTAAAGGGAGACACGCTTAGCCTGTCAACCAAATCTCGCCTCTGCAACATCGACGCTTCAGCCGCCTGATGACGTCGAGGTCTCGGTGCGTTGTTTCCCTATTCTGTTCGGTACCGTCTTCCTTTGCTGTTTCCTGTATACCACTTAAAACGTTTAAAAGTTCCGTTCCCAATGTTTGGCGACATGTGTTACGTGACAACGGTATTAGTGCCGAAGTAAATCTCCGCAAAAGTCTTGCTTTGATCCTGTTATGAGCGCCACATTTCCCCAACATCAAGAATAGTAGGCCGTGCGTGTGACCTTGGCGTAGCCTCCTATGCGTCCCCCGGAGGCGCGCGTATGCTACGGTACCGTAATAAGACCAGTTCATGCCGCCCATTGAGCCCGCACACAAAACGGGGAAAGACCGCCAATCCTGTTGGCTGAGCGCAGCGCGGTCAGTTGTTCGGTCGTAACACTTCGACTAGGAACATGGAATGAGGGGCCCTTCATTAGCGCGCAAGGTTCCTCGTCATTTACTGTCCAAAAACTTTAAAAATTAAAGAGACCCGGCCACCTTACATGAACTTAACAAATATCAGCCCCAAAAAGAGACTGACCAGTGCTCAGTGGTCACATCATTATAATTCTTTATTGGAGTATTTCAACAGCGATAATAAGTGGCTAGGAATATTGTCGCATTCGCTATGCCGTTTATCAAGCCTATACCGCCGAATATATTTTTTTTCTTAATCTAGTCATACTGCTGGTAAGCCAGCCACAATTGGCCTATTGTTGAATGCCATCGTTGATTCAGTTCTGTTTCTGTTGTGCCTCGTTTTGTCCTTCAAAACATCGGTATTGTGCACTGTGCATTCCGAACTGAGCTCGTATAACCCAGTCCCACTCCGTATCCGCAGTAAGAAGGATCGTGCGCGGAACCGTCGCACCTCGCCCGCGCTGGGGACCAAGGTGGCCAGCTACGTCAACAACTCGATCCCGCACGAGAAGCTGGACGGCGGCGGCAGCGGCAGCGGGCCGGACTCACCGCGCTCCTCGCACATCGGATCGAACCTGGTGGTCGACCTCGACACCGTCAACCTCGACAGTGAGTGGGGACAGTTTCAGACCATCTGGTGACTGATATTGGTAGCACAGAGAAAGATGTCAAACGTCAATCTAATTGTAAAACGATATAAAATCGAAGATGGCTGCTAGACGACTTAAAAAACATAAGAATAATTGTTTTTCCGTGAATGAGGTTGATGTGTAAAGCAACGCAAACACCGTAGCTTTAGAATAACGTGTGAAAATAGGGCAAACAATTAAATAAGACGACGGCGGATTATTTTACCGACATTGACCGGTCTACAACTGTGCGTTTTTCGGTAAACTGAGCACAGCCATAGTCGGACCGGTCAAAGTTTCCCGGCGCATCGGGCTGTTCCAAAAATCGATAATGAGTCATCGACCCGCCTGTGAACCGGAGTGCCGCTTCTTCCTGTCATTTCTTCCTTCTCCCTGTGACCTGTGCCTCGGCCGTCCGTTTGCTGTCGCGACTGCCGACAGAACATTACTGGACTCTGAATATCCTGTCCGCAGTTTTCCCCGATTGAGGTCTGGCTAGTGTCACCGTGTCGTCCAGTTCAGGACGTATAGCAGTTAGTGGTGGTAGTTCTAGTGACAATTGAACCGCAAACATTGGCGTAATTGAGTGGTTTAGCCATGGTAAGGCGCAGTTGCTCAAGAAACTGCAGTCGTTAGCGCTAAATGCTAACAGGCGTGGGGCTTCTCCACCACTTGATTCCATGACTTTCCTTTTAGTGGAAAGTCCACACATTCCGACATTTGCTGTCGCTGTTTGTGTCCCGTAATTAGCGAACCATTCATCCACTCACCAACCCCACGTTTTCAGGATCGCTGGGCGGCACCGCCACCCTCTCCCGAAGCAGTCGCCGTTTCTCCAGAGGAGCCTCCGCCAACGGCAGTCTGCGCAATCCTCTGGCGACGGGAGCTGACCTCGGCACGGCCACCCTGGCGCGCCAGGCGGCCGCCGTCCGCGGCTCGCAGAGGTCACTGCAGTCCAACGCCAGCTCGACCTTCCGACCGGGAGGATCAGTCTCCGGCTGGCCAGACGGCAGTATACCCAAACGGGTCAAGAAGCTCAGCTGGGAGGATGAACAGAATCGGGTACGGGTACGGGACAGATGTACTGACTGTGAGGAACGCTGAGTCTTGGCACCGATGGTTTGGTTGAGAGAATGTGGTGAGCGTATTGTTGATCGGACTAACCAGTAACCAGGTCGAGTGGTTTTGCTCCCGTGTTTACTCATTGTGAGTGCGTTACTCATCGCGACGTTTATTGATTGATTTTTTTTATAATGAATCCGATTATAAACAGGTGGTGAAGCTGCTGCCCAGAAAGGTAAAGTTCCCGGCAAGTATAAACCCAGTGTTGATGCTCAAACCCCCGAGGATAATCCCACGGATGTGAATTTACCCGTCACCCGACCAATAGCCATGACCGTGACTGCCGTCTCAAATTTGCAGTCACTGCGGTCGGTGAAGTATCCTGACGGCCACGTTAAGACTCCGCTGGAGCCGATCATTCAGGAGGGCTCCTCAGGAGGGGGACAGGATTACCAGGAGATCACTCTGCCCGGCCGCCTGCCGCTGAGCCACGAGAGCAAGGTGGTGTGGCCGCCGCTGATTGTCGCATCCGGGACTCCCTTCTGTCTGGTCTGGCTCCGTCTTCGTCTCAGGCAGCCTGCCATACTTCTATACCAGTTTGTCTCCTGCAATCTTCCGTCTGTCTCTGTCTGCTGTGGTCCCGCCTTCTTTCTCTCGTCTACTCAGTCCCAACTTCTGTCTCAAAATGTCTCTCTGGATCTGTTTCCGCTCTATTTAGAAGGTTCGTTCATAAAAGGATAAACTTGTGTTGAAACTGCTGAAACACTGGTGATATTCACGGTTCTTCCATTTCTCTTTTAATTCCCAACCAGATGACTTCGGTACGTTCGACTTGGACAATGAAGGCGGTTCATTTCGGTGGGTTATCTGTTCCTCTTTGCAGATCATGCAGCCTTAATACAGACTTGCAGGCAATTGATTCTTCAGCATGTGAATTCCCTCCAACAGGACACTTTGGTTGGATTTTTCCAGCGCTTTTGGTGGCGGCGGCAGAGTGGGAAGGAAACCCGAGCCTGTAGCGTGAAAATGGACTTAACGGACTTGTGTGTTCTATTCTTCCTCTTGCCAGGCCTGTCGGTATCCCTGCTAGCGGTGATGGTATATCGCGGTACTTTGTGCGCTGCTTAAATGAGGCACTGTGCCATTCGCGTGGACAATGCCGCTTTTCGCTGTTTGTCGTTCACATGATATTATATTTGATTTTTGTTGATGGTGTGTTGTCAGTTGTTGTGTCAATTATGACATATTCTAGCTGTTAGGCGATGTAATTGTCTGAGAACGCAACCCTACAAGTCAAGCTTTAAAGACTTTGAAGTGGAAAAGTGCAATCCTTGTACTTAATCACTAAATCCGCATACCGTGATCAGAAATATGTTGCAATGATATGTAATATTGTTTTACGGTTAGTAGTTGATCGTAATTGTATAAAGTCCGTTTGTTTTCCCCGACACAACAAACTGACCAAATTAAGTAGCGGCTGTTATCAACAGATCATTCGAGACTCAAATATTGCTCATTTGCAGATCCAGGATTTCCGTGGCATTTGTCCCTTCCGCAGTGTCCGAAATTGACCGAGTTTGTCGTTTTCTTTGATCAGAAAAAGTTTTCCATAAATTATGCAGCATCACATAAAGACACGAACTCGTTCTTTTTTAAACGCGCAACTTTTTGGAAGTGTGCATTACATAATACCTCTTTCCTGGACCAGTCAGTGCTATTCATCACTATCAACGATCAGAAATGCCCACCGATTGGATTTTAAATCTCGATTGTTGACACTATGTAGATGCGACGAATATTTTAATTCCGTGCGAATGGTGACGTTGACGGTGTGCACGTTTCTGTTTCAGACGGAGCTGGATCCTGACGTTAGCGTTACACCGCTACCCAACACACCGTCAGTGGAGATGGAGCAAAGCCCTGTGGCCGTCTACTTCTAACTAAGGCCGTCTAGTTCAACTACAGCCACGGACAGTGTGCTATGGTGACACCCCACTCCGTGAGGGGTGGCAAGGACAAATACCTCATGGAGTAGCACAACTCTGGAGGCGACAGTGGAACGGTCAACCTGTGCAGTGATTGAGTGGAGCCGACGTCAGATGAACTTATAGGCGGGATCTCCGCCAATCAGTGCACAGTTCGTAACTGGTGCGACCAATAAACGTTCAGTGTGTGAGATATGCCAATAGGCGCGCAGAGAGTGGTCAGTTCACCAGTGAGAACATTCCGAAGAGCTAATTCTTGTTATACAGTGAATTTAGCTGGTTAAATGTAAATGTGAACATGTTTCGGTGAGGCTGGCCTGTGTATGTATATTTATTGAGGACGAATGAGATGAATGCCGGTAGTTGCACAATGATGTGACGTTATTGTAAATAGGCACCTATATGTTGCCTATTGACTTGGTCCGTCCTTCACCACCATGTGAAGGACGGACCAAGTATGAAAGCAATGTTGTATCGGTGCACAGAGTCTGTTACATTTTCGACACCCTGAATGTTGAGCGTAATGTTATTGTGGAGTCAAGCCAGTCTCCCATTATTGGTATTTGAGATGTTTCTGGATGGTCAAAAGGCGGCATATGTATCAATTTATTGACACTGTCCGCCAAAGGTTCCTCACTCCTTCTTACTAGCCTCTTCCGTTTCTTGTGTACAAACTACAAACATGTCGACTTTTCCAACGAATGATTGATATTCCGGTTCGAAAGATTTGCATGTCGTGTAAACTGACGTCAATGATGTAACTCACGGCTTCCAGACTCGCAGTCTCTAGTGTTTCAGCTGACAGTTTGATCGGGTCGGCATCAGGCGTGCTGAAAATTGTGTATTTTTGTAAATTGTTCTGGAGACGCATGTGGTCTATTTGTTACCTTTTTAAATAAATGTATACGGTATAAAGAATTGCCAATTATATACGGTATAAAGAATGACAAAAAATATCTTAGCTGTTTTACGATATACCGAGAACACAAACCACCAACAGTATCTCTCGCAATATTGGATGGCATTTAGCGTGACGCATGACCCGACATTATCTTGCCTCTCATTTAGTTTCTGAATCTAATTAACTGTGTTACATGATGGGGGATGACATTGGGCTGTTTCATTACATATTCGTTCAAAATGGACTGCGTAACCAATTATTACCATACGAGTTTCACAGCAAATTACCTACATGTCTCCAGTGCTTCCCCTTTTGACAATAGCACACGTCTTCTAAGCATTTTTTTTTTTCACTTGTCCTGTACCACTTTACCGTACGCGATCTAGCTGCTAGCACGCGACACCATGATCCGTTACAATAATGCGGATTTAGATTACAAGCGTCGGGGGTAAAATATGAAAGGAAAACCAAGAAAAACAACAGCATGTAGTAGGTAGAATAACGGATATCTCACCCTAAAATATATTCCTACAGAAGGTATAACGCACATGATAAAAACAAATAACATATGATAGATTTCAGTGAAACACCTAATTACAACACTCGAACATGTTAGATTGCAGATCAAATAGAGCTTAAGTATACCTGTACCTACCTGTAGCATCCTATATTGGTACGAGCATTTCTATTTTCTCAACTTTTTTTTTACTGAAACGCTTCATACCATTTGCCACGATGTAGTGAGGGTAAAAACATAGCTTGTTTCAGTTTGCCGCAGTGGTTGATCAGTACGAATATACAGGTAAACGGCCGTTTATCGTCCTTCCATATTAGTGATGTCAATCACAGAAAATCGGTATACCGATACCAAACCAAATACCAACCAAAACCGTGAGGAAATACCGAAACCGAACCAACTTGAGAACATGAGGGAAATACCAACTTTTTACCGATTTCTAAACCTCTTTTACATTAGTGAGGGTTCATAATACCAACAAAATACCAAAAACATTCAGATTGAAATACCAAATACCAAGTTGGTATCGGTTTGGTATCGGTATGCCAAAAAGTTGGTATCCGATTGACACCTCTATTCCATATTCACCAATTAATAGCTTCCCATAGGGCATGGGTGGAGCTTTTAAGGTGATAATTGGTTGGGTAAGAAGTTGTCAAACCTGCAATGTCCGATTGTCAAGTTTCAAGTTGAATAAAATGGTACGTACACTGAAGCCACTCCTATCATTACAGAGATAGACTTTCGCATTAATGTATTTTTGGGAAAGTTCAACATATGTAGCCATCAGAAAGAGTTCGTTATTTTAGGTCAGGTATTGACGAAGTGTCATTTCTAATCTTCCTCAGGTAAATGATAGTAATTCGTATTCGTTTCGGGCTACACTGAGGTAAAAAATTGTTAAAAACCAAAAATTGTTAAATTGGTTTTTAACAATTTTTTACCTCAGTGTAGCCCGAAACGAATACGAATTACTATTTTAGGTCATTGATCGGTGTCACTTGCATTTCCATTCACAAGTGCACCGTCGTATTCCGGATGGAGTCGAAAAGCACGGGTGGAGAATGTTTGAAAAAGTTACCCCGGCCGGCGACCGAAAGTCAGAAAGACGATGATGCTCAAATATTTGTCAACGGTATCAACAAACCCCTATTCTGTGGCATAGAATAATGGATGTCTGCCGTTTGTACGTTTTTAGGGAAAACTGCTGTACGCAGGTGCGGAAGATTTCGTAATTGTAACAATTTTGCAACACGCCTTAAAATTTCGGACGCATGTCACTAGTGCTAGGTCAGGTCATCAGGTCAAATTTGCTGGATGATCGTGCTAAAAATGCCATCATGCCCCCTTTGGAAAGCTTATTCCGTGGAAGTTGCAACCTTCCCACACAAAAAAAATGTCAAATTTGACCGTTTTGCATGACCCTTTATTGATTTGAGCTCGCACCTGAAATATTATTCGCGACCGAGCCTTAAACGAGTAATCGAATGCTTTGTTTGCAGTGTTTAAGCTCCGTTATGTTCATGAACTGTGAGAAAAGTTGTCGGAGAACGCTAAAATCAGAGAAATTTGGCTTTTGATGATCTATGGTGATTTTATTATTGAGCTTGCCTAAAACATGACTTGATTTCTCTGATCACGTTTCTCGCTCTTTCAAACGTCGTTCCGCTTCTCGCCTCGTAGCCCAGTAACCGAGTTAGAAGGAGCGTGAAAAGCCCACCTCTCGACTCAACGTGTTACGATAATGCCACCACCCTGGCGCAGGAAGTTGGGGGAGCCTTGAGCCCCAGCAGTTCGTCCTTCTATCTCACTGATATTACCCTCGTCCTGTCTTGTGATGTTATTACAGTGCCATCTTAAGATAACGGCCCTTAAATATGATTTACTTCTGTGTGATGAAACATGTCGGGCTCCGCGATGAAAAGACTTAAAAACATAGAAGCTCCAAAATGATAATAAAGTAATTTTCAAGAACTTTTCAAGGTAGATAAGAATAATGAGAGACGCTTTTATAGATGGCAGTTTTTTCGTATGGAGACAGCTTTTAGGATTTACAAAAGTGGAAAAAGTTACCCCGGCCGCGCCGGGGTCGGCTGAAGGTTACCCCGGCCACGGCCGGGGTGGCCGGGGCAGGTTCTCCACCCATGTCGAAAAGTATGAACAGCTTTTTGTCCAAACCTGGCGCGGAATGACGTCATGCTAGTAACCATGACTTATACTTTTTTCGACCAAACAATTGTGTGAGAGACGATGCGATATTGGTATATGTAGAAGGTTGAGAAAGTTCATGTGATCGCAAAATACGTTCGCGAGTTACCACGCATAGTGTCAAACGAAGGAGATGGGGATCCTTAAACGTCACCATTTTCATTGAATGACGGGCTAAGTTTAAAAACTCACTTTTAGCCTAGGCATCCTTAAAAAAAATGTCTGAAGTATCTAGAACTCACGATAGGTAAATCAGCGATACAGAAGATGCATAACTATGTAGCCTTGCATAATAATAATGTATAATTAATGATCACATCGATATGTTTTATGACTATATCTTTTTGAAGATAATTTCATACATTCAAACAAAATTTGTCACGGACGACGTAGACGACCGCTCGGCCAGCTGGCGGTCCAGCTTAGGGCAGAGTGGGCAGTGGACTACCGCCAAAATTCATGATCAGACGTCTGCTTCTTTCCATGCAATGCAATAGACGCAATGTTCAAATACCTCCTAAGGGTCTCCATAGCCCTCACGCCACCCTCGGGTGCGGGGGGCGCCCCCTCGCGGCGCCGGCCGTTATAAGCGGCGGGAGGCGGGGCGCGCGACCGCAGTGGGCCGGGCCGACGCGCGGAGTCAGGTGCGGAGCGGGAGGCGCGGTGTCGTGCCGTGTGTGAGAGGACCGCACCCGGCGGGACCGGGCACAGCTCAGCACCGAGACTGGTCAACCGCGCGCCGTACAGCAGCACGCCATGCGGCGACTCTGCGCCGGTGAGTGGGCCCACGGAAGTAGTTACACCCATGTAACAAAGTCTTGCAATCCATCGAGTGGTCCTAGGTTAGGTTAGTTTTTGTTTTTCTCTATCCTCAGGTCCAAACAATCCACAACATTGTTCACATCACTCTAGTTTGGACAGACGAGCTCCCCTGCATCCTAACATCGGATAAAGTAATCCCGGAAACTTTGTCAGAGGGACATATCCCTCCGGGGTGACCGTTTGGGTTTCTTGGTGCCTGGTGGCCGTCTTACTACACCAGTGCCTTCCTGACATGACAGGCTCAGCAAATAGACTATTCCAATGTCGCAACTCTATAATGACATCGCCTCTTCCACCTGAAATGATTTCCTTGGACCCAAAGGGGTCGCCAGAGATTTTCGGTTGAGGGGGGGGGGGGAAATCAACTTTTGCGTTAAATCTTGCCTTTCCCCAGTCGTTACTCACTCGTTTTACATATCATTCGACGCGCAATGGTGCGAGGAAGCCGATGGTGACTAGGTTTTCCTTCTAGCTATGCCATGTCATTTTTTACAGAAAAATTCGAAATTTTTGAAATTTCTGGACAAAAAACGACTGGTAGAATTACAGCGGCTGCGATTGCCGACGCACTGCAGAGGGCCCCTGTGTAGACGCTCGTCGCTCATGATCATTACCAAGAAAAAGGTCAAAAACGCTCCATTCACTGCCCTCTCTGCCCTCACGGCACTGTAAACCTCCATTCAAGCATGCATGTAGAGGTTTTACGTGAAATGCATAGGGCTTATCCCAGCCGTTGATTGTAGCTAGGCTTGGCATTCGGCGGAGACTAAGAGTGAATGTCGGAAGTGTGAATCGGAAGTAATTCATCTTTGCCCCCGTGAGAGGAAGTGTTTTATTTTCCAGCCATTCCATCTCCAGCCATTCCAGCGACCGTTTGGCGGTGTGAGGTGGCGCCCCGTCCTGTTGAAACCATTCTTCATGGTGACGGAGGAGCACTTTCCTGACCGCCACATCAGCTTGAAAAGAGCGGTGGAATGGGCTCCCCATGCTCGCCCGACCTCAGCTCTCAGATTTTTTTCTTGTGGGGCTTTCTCAAGGACTGTGTGTACGCCGGCAATCCAGGGTCGACCCAGGAGCTGAAAGACGCCATCAGCGACGAGATCCGTCGCCTTCCTTCCCACATGGTTGACCAGGCGATCACCCACCTCCAGTCTGCCGGCGGTGGCCCGACGCAAAGGGGCTCACATAGAGCAGTTGCTCTAGACGGCACGCGCTGGTCAGCAGAGTGCCGAGCACAGTTGAGAAGCAAAGCAAATGTTTTGTCATTGCCTTGGCTCTCAAACGAAGGCATTTGATTGACAGTGTGATGTGTTTAAGATAAAATATGGAGAAAAGTCTGGGTACACTTTTGAAGTGGACACCATGTACTTTCGTTACCCTTTCAAGGAAGGAAAGCTCTAGTATCCATCCCTACCAATCGTGAATGTTGTGCAACAAGCCAGATCTGCAATCCAGTACAATGGTTTTGTTAATCGCTAAACCTCCATTTTGGTGTCATGCTGTCCCATGTGGTTTGGTAATTGGGACAAATCCACAGTAGTGCAGAGGTGACAAATCCGTGGTATAATCTTATAATTAGGCGACAAAGCTGAACAGAGGATGAGAAGCGTCCTTCAGGCACATTTAACCATTTCCCTCTCTAATTCTGAGGCCTCTTGCACTTGTGTTTCCACTGAATTTCACAATTACAGCCTGCGACTCACAGGGGAGGGGGCTATTCATAGCCTACCGATGATTCGATGATCTATTCTAATGATCTACCCTAAGAAGTTATCGGCCGATATCTTCAAAAATACAGGTTATACGCTATGTACGAGTATATATTGTACCATTGTAAAACATTTCATATCCATTGTTCAGTACGTTTTTTTTACATCGTACACCAAAATAAATAGCAGCATCGTGCTTCTGAGCTAAAACTGCATCTGATAGTCACTTTTTTTTGCTGAAAAAATCTCAACCTCAAAATTTAACTTTTTAGGCTGAAAGTGACCTGAACTCAGCTGCATTCAGCTGAAATGACCTCAAAGGACACAGACGACACTGATTTTGAAATCTATGGCCTAGTTGGACCATAAAACATGTCACATGACCGATGCATGATATAAAAATTCCGTGACCTAGGATGACCTGGCCCTGAATTGAAAAAAACATAGTACACTTTGATTCCCCCAGGGTATCTAAAGCATCAATTCACGAGTGTGTAAACCAAAAATAAGCCTGATCTGACATGTTAGCCGGCGGCCAGAACACAAATCGTGAACAAGCCAGAACGTTGATAATTTTTAAATTGGCCTGACCTGTGCCGTCATCGGTGACCTTGGGATCAATGAAATTTAGTTTCGCTGGACAGTTTTTTCCGGGGCTATCAGAAGCGGTTTGAATTTTGACAATAAGCCCAGTAGTTTCGGAGTTAGGAGGGGAGGCTGTGAATACCCCCCCCCCCAATGGGCGTGTTACAATACATGCCCTGCAGTTAGGCGCGGTTAAGAATAGCTAGTAAGTAGGTATTCAAATATACTTGATTCGCAGTTTTCTGGGATAAAAAGTCACGTTTTAATACAAAGTTCCAATGCCCTAATGGTTCTTCGAATAAATTCCTTTCGTATCATAACGCATAAGCTCTAATGAGTTAAGAGCCCTCCTGTGGGTATTTCCATCCATGGATGGAATTACACACAGGAATTCATTATTTTTTTTTTGCGAGTAAAACTTATCAAGAATGTCAATAAATTCAAGGCACCTTGCATACTTTATATCACAATATAATGCATTTCACTGTACAACACACTGTAACTCGGTACTGAATACTGTTCCGGTACGGAAGTGATCGTTTCCGGCGCCCCTGACACCGTCTGTCCGCCCTGTTTCAGGCGCCGTGCTGGCGCTGGCCATAGGCGCCGTGGCCTCACAGTCGGTACGGTCACGGCAAACGCCCTTCTATCAGCTGCTCCACAAGGTAAGGCAACCAGACTGACAGCAAATGGAGCTCGCTAGCGATGGAGAGAACGCCTTGAGTGCGACAGAGAGTAGAATATGATCAAAGAGCGCTGCGGAGTGTGGGATGTGTTCGCGAGAGTGCTAATGGTGCAGGCTCAATCACGAGGAAATAGGCTTATAATAGTGTCAGAATAGCAGGAAAATAGCTCAAGTTGTCAATTTTATCTGTTGCAATGACGCCACCAAGCTCATGTTGAAATTATTCAGAGAAGAAATCGCATTAGCCATTCTGCTTTTCCACTCAAGGCCTGTTTTGATCGGGGACCATTTCACCTCATTCATTCATTTCAACACTAAGAAAATCCCAGTTACCCGAACCTAGGATGAGATCAAGAGCATTCGAATAGGATGGCAACTCCCAATAACCAGAACCAAATCAGCTCACTCATCAAAGTAATCCGCTCTTCCGAAGTCAAGTATTGTTAACTATTACCTATTGGATTATTTATTGTGGTTGTCTGGGACACCGTAAGGCTATCAACGGTCCGGCCCTAGTCATACCTAAGCAATAAATTGTAAAGAAGTCCCTAATGAACCCAGGTTTCGTCTGAACGGCATTATGTTCCATCGCTTTACTCTTAACTCTTGTATGCCAAAAATGACACGGTCTGGGCAGATTTGAAAGGATTGGAGAAACAAGAAGGCTCTGTCATGTGCGTACGGTTTTCAGTTGCCATGGGGAGCCAACGTGGACCTCTCACTGGCGGACGATGCATTGACTACGACATAGTCAGTAGCGCAAAGAGCTGACCAGTGACCACCATATCGACACCTTTTTTTTAAACCCCACATCTGCTCTCCCGTGAATTTCCGGGAGGCAGGAAAGATCTCCTTTTAAAAGTGTCCAATCGTCCGATCCTGATCAAATATGGGTGTTCGTAGGCCTGTTCTGGTATTGCTTTATCTGCCAAGACAGACAAACTTGAGAAAAATCGAGTGATTGTACCTTTTTTGAAGGTCTCTAACCAACTTGTCTGAAATTCACCGGAGAACAAATGTGGGGTTTAAAAAAAGGTGTCGATATATTGTGGTCAGCTCTTTCTTCTGTATATGCTGAATTGCCCATCGGAAATCTATCACTATCTGTCACTAGACTGCACCGCATGTGCTCAGCTGCTGAACAATGCACAGGCAGGGTATCTCTTAAATATCTTTAAATCAAGCCACAATCGACCAAATATTCAATAAAAACAGCCAATAAAAACAATCTATTCATTAATTAAACAATTAAACGATAAACGATACGGATGAAATGGAAGCAATCTTTTTAACCGTTTAAAGTGTTTTGAACACGCGAGTCTCACGGCGCTTTTGGTGGTAATAAGACAGAAAGATATAGGTAGAGATGCCTCCACATCCGGTTAACCCAGTTACAGCGCTACGGTCTACATAATTCCTACGACGATCGCCATGTTCTACAGGAAAAATGTAGCTTGGCACCATGTCGAAGAAAACTCAATCTGATTGTCAAGGTTCAGTTGCAAGAACAGCTGTAAACCCACTCTAGAAAATCACAGTCGATCACACAAGACATACACATTACACGCAGGATTTGTCAGAATCTGGTAATGATTGTACACGGCAGGAAAAAGTAATGTCACAACACGCAGCGAACAACGGTCATGAGATAGTGAAGAGCTGCTTACGGAAACAATTATGATAGTCCATGAGCATAAGGTTGATGTCATTACATACGTTAAGTTTAACTCCTAAAGTCAAAGAAGAAATTTCCTAGAATCCAGCGGGCGATTTGTAGGCGTACTAGTGCTGTGATATTTGTCCCTAGGTGGCAGCACCTTCAAACGCCTGAATGTAGACTGTACCGCCGAACCCAGGAGCCGCAGCTGAACGTTTCAGAACTCCCGGCTTACTGGGCTTGAAAGTTGAACCGAACCGAGGCTGAGATATGTTCAACTAAGTCAGCGCACTACTATACAAAGTGTGTTTTTAATGGGGCCAATTTGTTAGGAAATGAGTATGTATTTCTTTAGATTTATTTACCTGGCTCAAGCTAAAAATAACCAAAAATTAAGACACAATACGCTCTCAGAGCAAATTCATAATTCTGTTGCGTGAAGCTATAAGCGGTTGGGTAATTAAGTGAAGCGACGTAATAAGTGACAATGTTATACTAAACACCACCCCGGGGTCACGGAAAAGTTCATACCAGTCATACTGTCCCAACACGAACACTGCACATAACATGCTTTGAGAGGTTACTACTGTTCAGTTTAGGTAATTACAACATGGAAAATGTGTTTGAGAACGTCCTTGCTATCATTCCGGTAACGCTAGCAAGCGACATGAGAGAATCAATTCGGACGCAGTGAGCTCGGGGAAAACAGTCATTTGTTGTGTTTCCAGTGAGCTCGCTATTTATTCACACATATCGGTTCAAAATGAGGTGCTAAGAGGAAACTGCCAGGGTGACGGCTTTTAGCTGCGGCATGCAGTTGACTACGACAAAACGGTTTACCGTAAACAATGTGGGTCTATTTTACCGCATCCACTGCACAGCTGCCAGATTGGACCGGCAAAAGTTGTAGACAGTACAGTGTATTGGAGCGGCAATAGTTGGACACAGTCCGGAGATGATTCGATTCAATTTATCTATCAGGACTGGGAACCCAGCTCCTAGCATCCAGAGACACCATCCGGGGTGAGATCGAAGGAAAGCACTCGTCTGGGATGGTGAATTAATGATAAATAAATCGCGTAGCTAAAACGCTTTAGAAAATCAACAGTCTGGCATATAAGCAGTACCAGCTAAACCCTGCGTGGGATATGAAGTTTGTCTGACCTGAATGATGGCGACCATGACCATTTCCCAACCGATTCATTGGGTGGACAATGGAACGGATACGTTATACTTCACGCGTTGAACGAACAACCTTTGACCTGTATTTCTAAAGGCAGGAAATCAGGCCAGGGCCATAATCCTCCATGACTAGCTGCGACTGGGAGTCTCCAATTTTTACCATCTTTAGGAAAGATCGTGCAAGTAAAACACCAATCAAATGCAAGGAAACAGTCATCAAACATCCTCAGAAAAGCCACTTACAACGAACTAACAATAAATTTACATATAGACTGGAACAGTTGGTATGGTATTCATCCTTTATCCGCAACTGAGCTCATGTGGCTAAAAAAAGTCCATCAGCCATTCTGAAAGAAACAGTCTACGGTATTGGTCTTAGGGGATATATTTTTGCACTGCGTCGATGTTATAGTTCGTCTCAGATCCCAAACATTGTCCAGTCATAGCTTTCATAATATTCTTCGGAGGGGAAAACGATACTATATCGACTGTACCTTCAAACAAATCTCTGTGTCCTTTCGTGAGTTTCGGGTGTCTTTATCAGACTTATGACTTCCGACTCCCCTCTTGCAGACGGTCAGCGGCGCCACGCCGGGCGCCGCCAACATGGTGTTCTCGCCCTACTCGGCATCCACGGCGCTCACCATGCTGCGCGAGGCCACTGTGGGCTCCGCCGCCCAGGAGATCACCGACGTGCTGGGCCGGGGCCACCAGCAGGCGCCTCAGACGAGCGTAGCGCAGCAGGGCGTCACACTACGCCTCTGGGACGCCCTCTACTACGACCAGTCGATCGCCGTCGAGCCGAGCTATGTGCGCTCCGTACAGCAGCTGGGGGCGGCTGTGCTACCGCAGCCCTTCGCTGACCGACCCGAAGAGGCAGTAGCATCCATCAACGCGGATGTATCTCGTGAAACGCTGGGCGCGGTGCGGCAGCTCCTCCCCGAGGCCGACCCAGACATGGTGTCCGTTCTGGTCAGCGCCGTCTACTTCCGAGCTGAGTGGAGGACGGCGTTTGATGTGGAGAGAACGCGATCGGCCGGGTTCACCACCACGGACGGCCGCAGGCAGAAGGTGGCCATGATGGAGGCGGAGGATCAGTTCAACTTCCTGCGCAGCGAGCAGGACGCCTTCACCAGCGTGGCCATCCCGTACAGGGTGAGTAGGCATCAGCTACACCATGCAGACAGAGTGTGAGGTCCGTTCTGTTACCGACGGCGTCAGGCGTACACATGTGGTAACTAACCGAGGCCCGATCTGGTACAGACAGTAATATGTGGTGGCTGTCGGTGGTGAGCGGTGACGTATGTAAGCGCTGGCTGTTTCGTTCGATTGTGTACAAGACGAGTCTCTTGGGAAACACAGGTTTTTGGGGGAAAAAAACTCGGGCGTCTGGTCTCTTTCAGTTAACCCATTAGTTTTCTCATTTGTTTCTTCTTAATAATATATAATGCTCGCACCAACAGGTAATGCGAAAAACGTCATCTTAGCAGATGCACAAAATGCTACTCATCGCATCTATTCTGGAGAACTAACGCCCTATTTTTTTCCTATCCACAGGAGGAGCGCTTCCAGATGATTCTCGTCCTGCCAGACGAGGGGACCAGCATCAACGACATCATCAGCCGCTTCGACGTGGACCTGATGTACAAGGAGATGCGGGTGCAGCGCGCCATCGTCAAGTTCCCCAAGTTCAGGGTGCAGAGCAAACTGCCACTGGGAGACATCCTCAGAAGTGTGAGTCATAATCCTCAGCGGTAGTAGGTACAGTGAATCTTCTAACCAGTCAGGATTTAGAGGAGGCGTAAATGCCAGGTGGATATTGTGCAACAGAGTCGATTATTTTCCTTTGTAGGAGAATAACAAGTTTTCCGAATGGATACGGACATAGAACCTGTTTATTTCGAAACCATAGTAGGCGCTGCTCGATTCAAAAGCCTTCTGCTGATCTTCGAATCGCCACCATAGCCTTGCTGTTGGCCCAGATTACCAAACGAGTCTATGTTTGTTGACAATCGGTATACCTCAGCCTTGCCAGTAAAGCTCAAGCACAATCGCTGTGAACCACACGAGCAGAATGTAATCATCCGGACAATGTCTTCCAATGAACACAAACATTGCAACACACACGCCGTAGATGTGTCTTTGTGTCTCGCCCAGCGCGCTGACCCTGACACCGTTCGCCCACAGCTGGGGGTCCAGCAGGTGTTCACGCGCCACGCCGAGCTCGGCGGGATGTCGCCCGATCCGCGACTCTTCGTCAGTTCCATGCGCCACACGGCCACCATCGAGATCGACGAGGCGGGCAGTGAGGCGGCCGCCGCCAGCGCCGTCGGCATCAGCGCGCGCAGCTTCTTCGCCCCGCCGACACCGAGTCTGATCGCCGACCGGCCCTTCCTCTTCTTTGTGTACGACACGACCACAGCTAATGTGCTGTTTAGCGGTCAGATTGAGGACGCGGCCGAGGCGCAGGCGGCGCAGAGCGCGCCCCAGCCGCAGCCGGCGCTGCTGCTGGACCTCGAGCCGGCGCTGCTGGTGGATCTGGAGCCGGCGCCGCTGCTCGACCTGGAGCCGACCCTGGAGTCTGGGCCGTCGGGACCGACTCTGGAGTCGGCGGCGTCGGCGCCGCAGCCCGTGCTGCTCGGCCAGGACCCGGCACTGGACGCCGCGATCAAACTGGAGCCCGAGAGCGCCGTGGAGACGATCGGCGACCCAGCCAGTCTGCAGGAGGTGCTGGGTGAGCAGCGGGCCGGCCGGGGCGGACGGAGGGGCGGCCGCCGCGGCCGGGGGCGCGGCCGGGCGCTCACCGGACCGTCCGGCATCTCCGGACCGTCCGGGATCTCCGGTCCGTCGGGAGTCTCCGGACCGACCGGGGTATCCGCACCGACGGCTACCGGTACCGGCTACACGGCCCCTGCACCGATTGGAGGCCGGCGCCGCGGCGTAAGGAGGAGGCCGGCGCGGCGACGCTTCAACAGACGGCAGAGAGTACAGCCGCCGCCACTCCCACCTCCTCCCCCGCCTCCCCCTCCACCCCCACCGCCGCCCCGTCGCAGACGGCCCCCGCCCCGTCGGCGCCCTCCCCCGCCGCGCCGACCGCCCCCACCGCGCCGTCCGCGGCCTCCCCCTCCTCCTCCAGCCGGAACCCGCTTCAACGCCGCCTGCAACTGCTACGACCCGCTGTACCCGACTGTGCCCACCCCGCGCCAGGACCGCGTCGTCAACATCAACATCAACAAGCACCCCTCGCCCCTGGTGACGGACATTTGGGCCGCAGCGCCGACGACCTCCATCTGGAGCGCCTCGGCGACCACCGACCCGCTGCTGTGGGGATCCACCAGCAACCTGTGGACCGGCGGCCTGTGGACCAACCCACTGGGCACATCCAGCCTTATCGTGCCCTAGCGCCGACCTGGAGAAACCTGTAGGCCGTACCGGTCCGTACAGGGAAGGGAAGCGCCCGCCCAGCGCCAGATGTGTTGTACTGAACGTGTTGTAGACATCGGCGTTGCCACAAGAGTATACGATGTGTAAATTGTAGGCATGGAATGGATATTTGTTACATATACGACGTGTAAATTCGGAGCTGTTTGATACGGTTAAGTTTGTGTTTAATAAAAGGGCATTTATTACGCGAACTGCGAGGGGAAGCGGAATGAGCAATGTGAGCAGGAAGATGTACGGTTTCCGGTTGTGCGACCGTCGCACAACAATTAGTCCGGGGTCAAATAAAATGTTTGATCTCTGGTCGAGGACAGAAGGGTTAAGCTTGATATCTAAAACATCTGTGAAAAATAACTGAAAACTTTGCGCACTACGCAGTACGCAGCCTTGCCCGACATCGCCCAAAGACAGGAAATCCCAGGACTGAGGATACTAGAACTTTAAGGCCTTGTAGACAAACTCAAAACAGTGTCACAAACACAATAATCTATCGCATTAATTTAACGTTAAAATACACATTCATCGAGCATTTGAAAGCCATACGTTTCCCTGCTCCTCTGTTGCTTGACCAGAAGAGTTCAAAGGCAGATCACATTGTCAAAATTTTATGCTGAAGTAAAATAGTGGTTCTGAAACGATCTTTCAGCGTCCCAAGATCATTATGAGCGCACACATGTCAGGCTAGAGAAGTCAGAACGGCACAGTACAAATGACAAACACAAGTAGCAGCATCAAAGGAAGCCCGTATAAAGCACAGTACACCTAACAATGATGCTCTGGTAGGAAATAGCCAGACGGCTTCGGATGACGCATTACCACAGAATCAAATGCGAAAGACCAGAAGACTAGAATTCACAACCATAGACTAGTCTCACTCCAGCTTCGAACCACCAGCGAAGACAGAGACAGCGAAATAGACATGACAAAATCCCCGCATGATAGGCGGCGTGGTAACAATGATACCGACACAATCAATCAGTTCCGGTATGTCAAAGGCCATCCAAGTTCACATTCCACAAAAGAAAAGGACAGAACAGAAACGTTAAACTCCTCAATATCTCAGTGGGTAGGTACTTGAAGAGCTAGACATTTTTCACATGGGTACGTCTACAATTTTTCACAACAGCCAAAACAGACATAAAATCGTTGCCTGAATAGGATGTCAAAGTCAGTAGAAAAATGCCTAAACTTTAAAAATCGTACATAAAGAGCTGATAAATATTATACCTAAAAGCTGAATCCATCAGAGCGTATTTTAATCATCGATCACGCAATTACCAGAGCGCCTGTAACACGATCAAAACCCTGTCATGAAGCACACGCCGCCTCCCGATGACTTCCTCCCACCCCAGATCACAGCCGCTCACGGCCCTCCCTCGCGCTGCTGACGGAGCCGGCGACCCAGGTCGATCAGCTGGCTCTGGAAGCCCGGGTTGGGCCTCACCCGGCGCACTGCGTTCACCTGCTGCAGCCCCTGGGTGAAGGTGAGCCCCTCACGTTCCATCAGGTACGCCACACAGAGTGACGCCGAGCGTGACACCCCTGCATTACAGTGCACCAGACAGCGCCCACCGGTGGCGCGAGCCGAGTCGATAAACTCAAATGCCGCCGGGAAGGCAGTCTCCAGCCGAGTCTCGGGTAGATCCAGCAGAGGCACAGACAGGTAGGTCAGCTCGTCCGTGAACAGGTTGTCCACCCTCGTGGCGCAGTTGAGGACGTGAGTGACCCCGAGCCGGCGCAGCAGCGCCCGATGGTGGGCGGCGTCCTGTGAGCCTACACACAGCCAGCCGCGGACCTCGCCCACCTGAAGGTCAGGGCTGGGGTCGACCACGAACCCTGCCGCGGTGCCGGCGGGGCGGAGCTGGACGCGGCCGTCCGACTGACGCGTCTCGAGCGTCACCCGGCCGTCGGCAGAGGTGACGCGACTCTCGGTCGGAACCAGACGCCGCCGCTGGAGCTCCAGTCGCGCCTGGAGGTCCATCAGCGGCCGGCCGGTAGGATGCGGTACCTGCCGCCGGCGGGCGACAGGGTCAGGCAGGGGGCAGGCGGTGATGATGATGATGATGATGATGATGATGATGATGATGATGATGATGATGATGATGATGATGATGATGATGATGATGATGATGATAAAATGACCTAGACTTTGGCACACCGATATCTATTTCCGACTTCTATGCCTTTGTCAGGAGAATGTGATGAAATTCGAGGTCTATGATGATAATAAACCGGCCTGACTAGTAGGTATGTATCTCACTGCGTAGCTGTCTTAACTACAAACGGAATGGACCAAACCATTTCGTCAGGATTGGGGATAAAAAATTATCTTCCTGCCCTTTTGAGCCAATCCCTCGAAAATACGTCGCTTAGCCGAACCCGTAATCTCCTCTTCCAATATTAAGAACCTACGTAAAATAAAAACCTTCCAATATTGACCACAACCATTTTCTCATTATCAGTCAAATGCAGGTCACGGAACATTTGTTTATTAAAAATCATACAAATCTGGAAGCAAAGGCTCGTACAAAAATGAAAGATCGACGTCTGACGACAAGTGGCCATGTGGTCCGTGATCAACGCTCTCACGTCATTGTTTATCTATGCCAGAACATAACGCAACTCTCACATGTGACAAGCTTATCGACTCATCGACATGTCTTAGGCTTACACCCGCCTACCGGAAATCAGTAAAAATCACGGCTCAAATAAACCAATTGGAAGCAATTGCACATCCGCTACAACGAGAACATTCACACAAACAAAACAGAATCCTCATATTGCGAATCAAACAAGAGACCAACACTCATTAAAGGGACCCTCCCACCTTCAAAAAAGTTTATGAATTGGCATAAAAGTGATGTCGCTCGGTTCAAAAAGAGCGAAAACGAATATCTACCAAATTTCACCGAAAAATATTCACCGGTTTTCAAGATATTAGACTTTTACTTTTGTTTACTTTTTTGGGATCTCCGCTGTTTCTAGCGACTTTATTTTAGAAGTGCGGCGTTTGCGGCAGATGTTGCGCGCAAATAGCATATACCACCGCGTGCTACAAAACGTTTTAGTCAAACATTTAAAAATCGTTAGATATATGCGCTGACGTCACACATTCAGAGGGGTATTCCTAAGCATTAGCCCCTCTGAATCAAAATGCTGCAATTTTGAAATTCAATATTTCCTATTTAAGGCATTTCTCGATGTTGTGAGTGCCGAAACCGGTAATTGTGAGCCAGGGACCCCATTTTGGCTATCTCAACTCAAATCTAATGTTAAGGTGGGAGGGTCCCTTTAAAGCCATATCGCACAACAAACCTGAACGTATAATATAAGTCAGTGATGAAATGGCCATCAACGAATCACAAGCAACTTCCTTGTTATTCTCGCAAAAGAAATCACAGTGGATAGACTAGAAAAAATTACATCTGTACAAAAATAATTTATCAATGTCTACCAACGTCATAAAGACGAGCTAGTGAAAAACATTGGACACATTGCGTTGAGTTTGTATCACAAAAGTTAATGGAAACGGAAAGTGCGAACGGTGCGAAACAATCAACTAGGTACCATTAACCAGCATTTTGTGCGCTTTAAAATCAGTGCTGGTAAAGCCTGCCATTCATCATGTGCACACTAAACACTTCACATCGAACTGAAGTTTACTTGGACAGCCACCCGAGGCAAAGCACAATATTTCACTGAACCAACAACTACTTGGTGCTTACTGCCTAGTGTTTAGTGCACACGATCTCCGAAAAGTGAGCACACAAGAAACACAGATGAATACCGAAGCATGACGCCATCAAATGAAGATAAAAGCCAGGATGATGCGTTTCATGGAAGATCACAATAAGAAATGGCTCCGTATATGGACCACTGGTCGTTTATCAGTATCGCGCATGAGAGCTACAGCATACAGCATGCGATCTAGCAGGGCAGGATATAGACAACATTATAGAAAAACTTGGACGGATTCTCACACTGAACAGTGAACATGCAAATTACATACACATACGACTTCCTTGCCTCCTTCTCAAATCCCTTAGGCCGCAAAAGCTCAAACGATTTCACGGAAAACAAACTGCGGAGATGACCAGACTGAGTTTAGTAAACATGCACGCGATAACTTGTCTACACCTCATGACCCTCCCGTGATACTGTTTATAATCACGGCTGTAAAATCAGCAGATCGTTTACCAAAACTAACGAACAGACGTGCAAATGGAGCGGCCATTTCGATTCGTTTTCGAGTGCTGATGGTTGCTGTCAGACTAGAATGAATTACCGGATTAATCACTGGATGACCGAATTAATAAGGTAAACAGCCATAAAGGAAAACCTTGAGCCAGTGATGTTTTACAGACAGCAACTGAGTCATTGGGTAATTACTTCAGCGCAATTTACTTGAACAGCAGAAACATCGATCGATAGTGATGCAAGTGTTAGAACTGAGAGGGAAACGGCTATTTACAGCCTTAGCTCTGTTTGACATCTGGCTGTCATTGACTCCGCTCATTTTTCCTCATTTTCCGATAAAAATGTCACGCAATGAGATGATGAAAAGAAGATAACACAATTAAAAGCGCGTATAGAAAGCAGCGACAAAAAAAAACAAAACGAAACGATGCGAGAATTTCGATTAAAACCCATAACATGATCGCAGCTTAGAAAGCTGCCAAAGTATGTATGAGAAAAGAAGGAAGGATCCAATTATTATGAATAAGATGGATTTGATTCTGGTCCACTGACCTGACGTCCTACTGCGGGCGGCACCAACCGAGCTGGCGACCTCACGCCCTACTGAGGGCGGCACCAGTCCTGACGCCCTACTGCGGGCGGCACCAGCCCAGCTGGCGCACCAGCCGCGCCCTACTGCGGGCGGCACCCACCGCCCATCCGCCCTACTGCGGCCGGCACCAGCCGAGCTGGCGCACCAGCCGGCCGCGCAGCCCGTCAGCCCTTTTCTCCGCCGACAGCGTGACAGCGTCCCCGACCTTACGCGGCCCTCCGTCGGCCAGCTCGGCCGCCACGCTCGCATCGAACGTCAGCCCGGCCACGCGGCAGAACAGCGCGTCCACGTTGGCGCCCGTGCGAGAGGAGACCAGCCACAGCTCTGCGCCGAGCGTCTCGGCCATGGAGACCGCCGTCTCGCGCGCGTGCTCCAGCGCCGGTCGAGAGGCCAGGTCCTGTTTGGTGCCCACCAGAAACAGCAGCGGCGGTACCGGGTTGGCCTCCAGCACGTCGTGGCACCACTGCGCCGCGTGAGAGAGAGACATCAGATCGGTGACGTCGAAGCAGATGACGGCGGCGCGGGCGCCTCGATAGTACGAGGCGGCGATGGATTTGAAGCGCTCCTGTCCAGCTGTGTCCCATACCTGGAGGCTGAACGGTACACCCAGCACGTCAAAGCGTTCCACCTCGAAGTCGACGCCCACCGTGGCTTTGTAGTTGCTGTCGAACACTTGGTGGCAGAAGCGGTTGACGAGCGACGTCTTGCCTACGCCCGAGTCACCGAGCACGATCGCTTTGGAGATTTTCAGCGTGCGCCGCACGGCCGCATCCCGCAGGCAGGCATCCAGCACGCGCGGCTGGAAGGTACGCCGGTGCGGCGAGCGGCCCGGCGCTGGCGGCAGGTGCGCCAGGCAGCGGTCTAGCTCGGCAGCTTCCCGAGCCGGCCGCACCGCAGCGCTACTGGTCACCATGGCGGCGGCTGCTTATACAGATGGAGCTCCAGTCGGTGTGACAGAGGGCGCTGGCATCACCCGACAGCCAGCCGCGTGGGCACCAAGCAGCGAGGTTAGCAGTTAGCAAAGCATCCGTCGACATTTCAGTAAATACAAAAGTTATGGACATTTATTCTGGTTAGTAAGCAATTAATATTCGACAAGGAATATAAATAGACCCGAAAAATCGAGCACTTAATTAGTGGCATGCAGCACAACTAAGAGGGTTAGACTAGTTTGTAGTCTGCCAAAGGTTTATGCTATTTTAATAAGGGTAAGACTCACAAGTGAGCCATACATGCATGATCATATTATATTTAACACTCTTTAATTTGTATCCTTCTGTCCACAAATACAACAACTGCCATGCCATATACCTTCTTTAGCTAAAAGGTACTGATATCAAATCCCATCAAATCCATCACTGATCACATCAGCATGCATTCTGCCATCCAGTGGCAAAAACCATTATGTTAGGTCACAGGTCAATGTAACATAATGGGTTTTGCCTTTGGACGGCAGCATTACAACTGATATGCCTCAGATAAGCATGCATGAACAGTCTTCAGTCCACTGTTTTCTTAGCACATCATTCATGTTGATGTGACCTGTAATGTGCATATAATTTTGTTTTTGTTTCATACCTTGTCTTGTGACTTTTGTCTTCTGGTCAGGTTAGCAATTCTTGGCCCTTGGCTTCAAACCTCATAACAAACTATATTTTGAGCTTATATATAATGCTATAATTTAAACCTATAATTGGGACTCTGGATGTGATGAATATGGTCATCATATGATCATATGCTGAGCTTCTGTTTGATCCTGTAAACAGTAAAAATCTCCTTGCACATTGATAAGGGATCATGTGGCATGATGCCAGCATGACAGCTTACCTGTGGTCTATGGATGAATGTGCCAGTGATTCAGCCAACTTGCACTGATCACTTCCTCTAGCTCAATTCACTTTGTTCAGCAATGGACCTGTGACCGGTATTCAGTATAGCTGAAAGTGTTAATAAAGAGGATCAGTTTGAGTAGTTTCTGACATGCATATACACCAACTTAAAACCACAATTCCATCAGCACTGGCCACTGAGCACTCTAGATTTCTGATTTCGTCAAAACATCAGTTAAATTTAGCATATTTCAATTTCCTTTCCCCCTTCAGGCTTCAACCTCACCACCTCAAAACTGAAAAGCTTCAAAGATCAAACCAAACTGAACTGTGAATACATCCAGTAGCGGTGGAACACCTTCAATTAAGGGGGAACTCTGCCGACTTTTGGTCCTATTTTTTCCATGCAACGCCCATAGGGCTTATGTTAAAATGCCAAATCAAGGGGGGCACGGTGCCCCGATGCCCTGCCCGTTCCGCCGCCTATGAACACATCTCCACTCCCTCGCACTTTTTCACGTATGTACCTTGAACTGAATCGCCAACATCACTTTCTAAACATGGCCTTGCATCACTTCCATCCTGCCTCAGATAATTACGATGCCCCCAACAGCTTACCCCCTGCCTTGCTTGCCCCCAATCTCGGATGTCTCGTTCTCGGGGCAATTTGTTTTGGAATGCTTTGTTTTGTTTATACTGCTTAGAGAAACGAAAAACTCATGCCTAAATTTCATGCTATACAATTATTAGCAGCTTATTTCATATATAAGCATTGATAGCATGGTAAAATAAATTAAATGTTTTAAACCTTTTTGAAATTTTAAAATGTGCCAAAAATATTCAATTTATTTTTGTTTGAACTTATAAATATAATTGTGATTTTTAATTTTTAAAACCTTCTCGAGTACAAAGTTTCAATACTTTTCACGCTTTTCACCACTAATTGTTCTGCCATCTTGGCTGGCTAACGTGTCTGCGCTTGGATTTCGAGCTGCATTGCTGTTTTGCCGATTTATTTGGCGATCAGGTAATAACAGTAGTATGCTGAATCATAAAGCCACATTCATGGAAAGTACTGAATCCATCTGCAGTAGCGTATAGATGAGAACGGTTGATGACTTTGGGTGGGGCGAACATGGCGCACCCTGCGCTGTTTCTGTAATCACATGTCCGTATGTCGCCTAGCGTAGCTAATTATAATTTTTATTTTATAATTTGGTTGTTAAACGCAGTAAGGCTTAAAGTGACCATCCCACCTTAACATTAGTTTTGAGTTGAGATAGCCAAATTGGTGGCCATAGCCTGAAAATACCAGTTTGGGCACACACAACATCGAAAAATGCTTTAATTTGGGGATATGGCATTTCAAACTTGCGGTTTTCGGATTCTAAGGGGCTAATGCATTGGAATATCCCTTAAGAATTTGTGACCTCAGTGCAGATCTAGCGATTTTAGATATTTTACTAAAATGTTTGGTAGCATGCGGTGGTATACGCCGCCCAGACTGCAAAGTATACGCCGAGATCTTGTCGGTGCGGGCTTGTTCGGCTGGTGCGGATTTTGGAGTGGTGTTGTGTGGATTTGGTCTGGCGCGGTGCGGATTTGGCTTGCACCTTGGTGCGGTGCGGACTTTGCGGTATTAGTAGGTATATATTAGGTCCCGGGTCCGAGTGGACAATTGTGACGCTGTTGATACAAATATGTAACAGCAAAAAAATTTGGTTTTAGGTTAGGTTAGGTTGTAGGTTTGTAGGTTTTAGGTTGTAGGTTTGTAGGTTAGGTTAGGTTAGGTTGTAGGTTTGTAGGTTGGTAGGTTGTAGGTAAATAGGTAAGGTTAGGTCAGGTTTGATTATGTTTTTTTCTTTTATTTCCAAGACATATAAGTATCATTTTTGGATTCAGGATGTCAAATAATGTAAGAATATGAAAACTTTATCTTTTAACAGTCACTCGGACTCAATGTATTCCTTTACTGACTTCGCTTGGTCTTCTTACCCGGCCGGGTTCCCTTGTTGACTGTTCTTTGGAAAGCCCTACAAATGCGTGCCAGCCACAGTGACACACGGTGACAGACCAAGTTTTTATATTTACTCTACAAACTAACGATTGGGGCAGAACAAATCCATTCTTGCCTCGGGAATTATCACGATGACGTCATTAGAACTAAGACTGGTTGCGGTGGTGATTGGTGATTGTGTGCTATATATGTCACATTTGCGAACAGCTGGTTTGGATTGCCAATCAGCATGCTACTTTGGAATGACGTAATTGGTTTTACTCATACAAAAGTTTGTTGGGGCGATTCATTACTCACCATACACATTTCATATAATAAGTTGTTTTTCTACCCATTTGACAAAGAATTGTTAGGCTCATTAGTGAGTCATTAATCTCCTAATTGTTGCAGTGTTTTCTTACCCTCTTTACAAAGTAAAGAAATATGTTTCATGGCTTTGGATGAAAACTCTCATTGTTGAAAATATAATGACTGCCTGCTTCAAGTGAGCAAGGTGCTGAAAAATATTTTTTGCATTAATAAGTGAGCAAACTGTAAAACAAATAGTTACATTGGTTAAATAAATGACTAATGAGCATGGGTTACAATCTGCTAATACTCTAAATATGGTGTAAACTTAAAGTCGTCCAGTTGAAAAGTCTCAACTCTTCAAAATTGTAATGTAAACATTATATATACCGCCATCCTCATATCTCTAAACTTTGCATTAACCAGCACCCTGCTGGGGGGTGTTTGAACACACCACACCCCCCTTGTGATTTTTCGCGAATATCTCAATAACGGCGGCGCTTCGCGCCGCCGTTTTTGGTACACCTTATCATACATCAAGTCTACACATTTTATAAAAATTTCAGACCAAGGTCATTCAAGGTCAGGTCACCAGGTCACTTGAAGTGACCTCACCTCATAAAAAGTTTCAATGTCTGCCATAGCTACACCAAGTGACCGATCGCTTTGAAACTTTCAGCGATTGATAAGGGTAACAGTATCTATAAAATTTATATCTCAGAATTTTGATATCGGTGACTACTGACTAAGGTCAGATCAATTTTGCGACCTCCCCATGATAATTTATAAGTCAATGGAAGAAAATTGAAATGCGCCTCTTTTAGACAAAATACATTATAAACACTCCCAAACACTGAATTACAAGTGTTTTAGATACACTGATCATGAAAATGGTGTCCGTGACCCCTATTTATGCCCCTGGCCCTGAGGTCATCTCAGGTCAGGAATGGTGTCTAACAGTTTTTCGCAAATAACTTTTTGTTACCGAGCCCAGGGTTCACTGCTACCGTTCCCCTCCTCCACGGACCCCAAATACAGGAATACTTACACAGTGGACTATATTTACTGCCCCGTTATCCTACCGCCTACTGTTCCCATCAGTAGGCAGGAGCAGGACGAACAACCGTACCCAGCGCTCCCACTGTTACCATCAGTAGGCAGCAACAACCTCACCTGTACAGAATCGTCCACTTGCCCAAGCCGCGGTTCTCCGTCCACGCACAGCTGACAGCACTCCACGGGTCACCACTCACTGCGGAGCTGAGGACACGACTGGCGCGGGCCCGCAAATCTGACCTAACATGACCTCGGATCGTAGTGGGCCGACCTCACGTCCAATCGCAAACCGGAGTCGCAAATGACGTCATAAACCCAACTCCACAAACACACGCAGACAGTAATGGCGCACGATATACAAATATGAAAGACATGCTCAAGGTTGGTAAAAATAAATCCATTCAGGCAATGTGTTGATTGGCATTTCTTTGTATAGGAACTTTGAATCCGTGAGTACTTTTGTGGTAAACCATCAGTAATCTAACTTAATTAATCCGACTGCATAACACTACCCCCCCCCTAACGTTCTTCGCCCACGAAGAAGAAGAGATAGGGAGAGAGCACAAAAAAAACGAGCCATTTCATGCACCTAGGACCGGTGGAGCCACTCGGGCAGCCTATGCAGGAGACGGTCGTACCCCTCCTCTGAGAGGTGGATCCCATCGCGGCCGTAAAAACGATTACTAGAATCGCTGACGACGTGCCTCCTTCTTTTGTAGGTTGTGAGAGCCCTGCCGACAAGCCAGTGCGTCGCCTTGTCGTGGAAGTTGGCTAGCGACATTCTCTCGGCGTGGAACGCCGGGCACTGCTCCCACGCCCTTCCGGTGTCATAGCGGAGGCGGGGGAGAGGGCCTACAATGTCCACCTCCGTGCAGTGCTCGAGGACAGCGTCGATTACTACTGTTATATTGTCTTTTAACACAGCCAGTTGTCGGCGCCTCCTCTCCGGGTCTCCGTCTGGATAAATGTCGTTACCTGTCATCCAGATGCAAACTCGACCCGTTGACAGCCTGAAACCTTCAGCAGCGCAGCGCCAGTCTTGCAGCTCCTGGGCGATGCGACGACACAGACGTTTCCAGGAATCTCCTCCTCGGGTGCGATTGAAAAGGAAGTCCGGGCTGGACACGCTCACCTGTGCATCGCGCGCGATAGAATCACCCAGGAACAGATGGAGCCTTCCGCCGTTGTCATCGGGGAAGGTCGACTCTTGTGCCGCCAGCCACTGCCTCTGGTCCGGGTCGGATATATCTAAGATGTCTTCCCAGCTGTCGACGTTTGGCCGGTCCATATGCCTGGTTATAGAGAAAAGAGAAAAAAACAGGTGCTAGAACTCTGGGGGTCTAGAGCGTTTTGCCCATAACTGTTTGACCAGACACAAACACACGCACACATACACACGTGCATGCACAGTCCCACACTATTTACATGCCTTACAGAACGTAATCGGCCAGACGTACTGGCATCCTGCGAGTTCTGGACCGTGTACTCGGGCGTGAACCACCCGCGGAACTGTTCCCTGGACCCGCGTTGTCCGTGTCCCCGTTAGCATCGGGAGACTGGACTCTGGGATCCGCTGACTGGGGTGGTTGTATATCCGCACTCTCGGAGGGGCTCGTACTGGCCACCCCGGGGACTGAGTTGTCGCTCCACGTGAAATGGGGAGACTCTGCGTGTTTCCACAATCGGTTGATGTGAACTACTTTCGCTTTCCCCCTGGCTGTCCGAATGCGATACGTGACATCGGAAAGCCGGTTGATGATCACATAGCCATCTTCCCAGTCAGACATGAGTTTAGGACAGAGTCCCTTTTTACGCCGGGGATTAAAAAGCCATACCTTGTCACCGGGTTGTAAAACAGATTGACTCGCCTTGGCATCATACCGAAGCTTCATTGCGTCGGACTTCAGCCGGAGGTGTGATCGGACCTGTTTGTGAATCTCCCCGAGGCGGTGCTTCAGCTCTCGCACGAAGTCTTGACATGAGTCATGCCTCGCATCGGTAGGTGGGGCGTCGGTGATCAGATCGATGGGGAGGCGCATCTCTCGACCAGTCATCATCTGAGCCGGAGTGTACCCCGTGGTTTCGTGCTCTGCGGAACGATAGGCCATTAGGACCATAGGTAGTTTCGTGTCCCATTCATCTTGGCCCTCTTTGCAGAACTTGGACAGTTCCTGCCCCAGCGTTCGGTTGAAGCGTTCGACCATGCCGTCGGACTGCGGATGAAGGGGCGTAGTCCTCGTCTTCCGTATCCCCAGCAACCTGCACGACTCTTTGAAAACGGCGCTTTCAAAGTTTCTTCCCTGGTCGGAATGGAGCTCGTTGGGCATTCCGAAGCGGGTGAAGAAGTTGTCCACCAGCACTCCAGCCACGGTAGTGGCTTCCTGGTTTGGTATGGCGTAAGCCTCGGGCCATTTGGTGAAATAGTCCATTGCAACGCATATGTACTTGTTGCCATTCGCCGAAAGTGGTAGGGGACCCGTGATATCTACAGCCACCCTTTCCATGGGGGCTCCCGCAAGGACGAGCTGCAGCGGTGCTCGCTGAACGGTGTGCGGTCCCTTCTTGGCACAACAGACGGTGCAGACGCGGCACCACTCCGAAACATCGTTCCGCATACCAACCCAGTAGAAGCGCTGTCTGAGGCGTTGTAGAGTCTTCTTCACACC